AAGAACAGATGTAAGGAATCTTAAAATGTTTGTCTGCAATCGGGTCAATGAAATTAACGAGCTAACAAGTGGTTTTGAACACAGACATGTACCTACGAATAAGAACCCAGCTGACTTGGCCTCAAGGGGGGTTGAACCCCAGGACCTGTTGTCTTCTTCTTTGTGGTGGGAAGGTCCTTCTTTCCTACAGAAGGAACGTTCAGAGTGGCCACATAATTCTTTCGCAGTTCAAAACTTACCGGAGTTAAAGATGCATTCGTTGATAACTGCAGTAGACAATTCTGATAACGGTAATTTATTTATAGATTTCAAAAGATACTCTAGTTTCAATAAATTAACTAGAACATTTGCATATGTGTTACGTTTTATTAATAATTGCAATAAAAACAAACATAATTATTTAGGCCCTATAAGTTCCGATGAAATAAATAATTCAGAGATGTTACTAATAAAAAAATGCCAATTACAATCGTTTTCGATTGAAATTGGGTTACTAAAGCAAGGAAAACAATTACCACAAAAGAGTAAATTGCTGCAGTTGACTCCATTTGTAGATTCAAACGATTTGGTTCGTGTGGGTGGTCGTTTAGGAAACTCAAATTATAATTTCGATAAGAAGCATCCTATACTATTACATTCAAAACATCATTTTACCAAGTTATTAATGATTAATGAACATATACGTTTGTTCCACGCAGGTCAACAGCTGCTGTTAGCGTCAGTGCGTGATAAATATTGGCCTATTGGTGGAAGATGTTTAGCGCGGCTAGTAGTTAGACAATGTGTTATTTGCACTCGCTTACGAGCAGATACAATGCAGCCAATAATGGGTCATTTACCTGAAGCGCGTACGAATGCTTGTTTTCCTTTTTACTCGTGTGGAGTTGACTTTGCTGGACCTTTCATGATTAGCAACCGGAAGGGTCGTGGTAACCGCATCACCAAATGTTACTTATGTTTATTTGTTTGCCTCAGTACAAAGGCAATACATTTAGAACTGGTGAGTGAACTAAGTACTCAAGCTTTTATTTTGTGCCTAAGGCGTTTCATATCGCGCAGAGGAAGATGTCATGAGATTTTTTGCGACAACGGCAGGAATTTTGTGGGTGCAAACAATGAACTAGGTAGGTTGCTAAGATCCAGCCGTCAATCTGTTAGTGATTATGCTACTTCTGAAGGAATAAAATTTGTATTTAGCCCCGCATATTCTCCCCACTTCGGTGGTATATTTGAAGCTGGAATTAAATCAGCAAAATTCCATTTAAAACGTGTAGCTGGAAATGCCGCTTTGACGTTTGAGGAGCTGGCAACGCTTTTTGCGCAAATCGAAGCCATCCTTAATTCACGCCCGCTGACTCCTCTCTCGTCCAATGTTACTGATCCTTCTCCTCTGACCCCAGGCCACTTCTTAATTGGGAGACCACTTACGTCTATTCCGACGAAACCCATCACTGTTACTAGACCAAACAGATACGAGCTTATTGAGAAGATAAGACAGCACTTCTGGGAGCGATGGCGCCTTGAGTACATCTCCGAGTTGCAGCAACGCACCAAATGGCGCACCGGGCAACAAGGCCTCGCCTGTGGGGACGTGGTGATACTGAAGGAGGACAACTTACCGCCATTACAATGGCGGATGGGGCGTGTGTGTCGTCTCTACCCGGGGGCCGATGGCGTCAGTAGGGTGGCTGACGTCACTACTTCAAAGGGCGTTATACGAAGGGCTGTCAATAAACTATGTCTTCTACCCACTTCAGAATCGAAAGATGTCAAGGAACCAGAGGAAGTCGTCTCCAGGCTCCAGACCTCGTCTACTTCTTGAAAGCTAAGGCTTTCAACGCGCCGGAGGATGTTCACGCATCTAACGTGTGATGCTCAGCGGCGGGAGACGCGGCGGGCGGGGGGCGCACTCAAATGTCAGGTGCACCGCCGCCGCCTCACCCCGCGCGGCTCGCCTACAGATTCGGTCAGCGACGGACGTGTCGTGCGCTCACACATAATATAATTTTGTAAAAATCGATCTGTATTAAAGTTATAATTTACCCAAAGCGAGTCGACCATCATTTAAATCCTAAACAGTGAGTTTTGTTTAAATTTTAATTAAAAAAGGAACGCCGTCAAACGCCATACTTACTTATTTACCAAGATTATTTAAAAATAAAGTAAAACTCCTTCTGCCCCAGGCCGAGGTTGCAGTACCTACCTGCATTATTGCGCTTGGCCCGCAACCCCGGCTAACACGTCAATATCTTAGGATATATTCAGTCAGTGTAGGTATTGTAAATGACGTTACTCCGTATACTCTGTACAACAACTCTTGTTGCCACAATGCACACGTGTCACCAGACAAATTTATTACTTACGCTTTTTTTGTACATGTTAAGAACGATAGGTACTTGTTTCTGAATTTTATATAAAACTGGTGGTCGCCCGCGGCTCCCGTATGGATGTCGATTTTACACTTATTCAAGATTTTTTAAATTTTCTCTACGTACAAACCATTTCTGGACTTCCTCGAAAAATGCAAGACCAAAATTAGACAAATCGGTTAAGGCATTGTTGACTTATATATATAAGTATACACAAAATGCCGTCATTAGGTTTTCGTCACATAGCATACTTATGTCAAACCAATGTCGGATTTCAAGTACCTATGTATATTTTAATTGAATTAAAAAGTCAAATTAATTTATTTTTGACCCAGGAAACTACCAAATTGTGTACCTACCTAACCGATAACTTGTGAAATTCAATACTATTTTCTACGGACACAATCGATACCTCTCTAAATGACTTTTGTATTGGTTTTGTGTGTTGTGTCCAATACTACGGAACTTGTTACTTGAAAATTAACTAGAATGATAAGTTGGTTAAATTATGATTATTTTTGTCTCAGTCAAGATCGATTTTCTCTTATATTATCTACTATCCTATAAACATGGTCTAAAAAGTTCATCATAAAGTTGTAAAAAATGAAAGCCATCGACATAACATCAATGAATAAATCACCACATATTAAAAAACATGCTTATTCGAAATGCCTCAATAGGTAATCTATAAAAAATGCACAAATTTTGCTGCTGTCCCTACGTGTTTCGGTGCTTATTTAAAGTGCTTATGTAATAATTATTTATTGATTGCTATCACAATAATAATAATGTTATCGCGGTGTGCGGCAAGTACATGTGTTTTGATAACACACTACCTAAATGTAAGTATATAAAATATATTGTTGTGTGCCGTGTTCTTTGTCATCCTATCTAAAACTTAGTCATACAATTTTCAAATCGTTTTCCTGTTTTCATGTTATAATAATTAAAAATAGTGTGCTTCTGAGAAATTGTTTTCGATTATGTAAACTAACTATTTGACAGTCATTACATTGTCTGTGGCTAGTCGACAGAGTCAGTAGAACTGTTAATTGAATTCTAAAAAGCGTTACTTTATCTTGTGCTGTACAGCGGGCAAACCTACGGGCCAACTTACAACCTCGGACAGCGAGCGACCTGCGCTTAGTACAGACACTTTTTCTTAGGGGTAGTGAGGCAAGCGAGCATTCAAGGACACCAGAGGAGTTCTTGTGTAGTCGGGATCAATGTATTTAGGGATTGGAAATAAGGTTGAGGAGGGGAATTGAGCCTTAAGTAACCTTGTTTGAAGACAACGCAAGCGCAGTGGTGTCACTCGGGTCAAACCGGGCCATTTGTGACGAAGCATTGTTCGCCACGCTTAAAATAGTTCTATGTGGATAGTTTTATGTGCTACAGACAGACTATTATTGTTAAATGATATTAGTATATCACTATATCGTACACCTACATAGACTTAGTAACTACAATAGAGTCCAAAATACCAGTTACCAGTAACATAGGTGGATCTAAAATAAGTGGCAAACGAACATTTAAAATGGCAAACAGCCTTTGGACAAAACCCGCCCTTGGACATCCGCGACACTAGAACCTAATGGAGTTACAAACTCGTAGTTTGACATTCCAAAAGATTAGGTAGGTACCTACCTATACCCTATTTTCTTGAAGGACGTATATTCCACAATTCAGTAGATGGCTCTACTGAATTTGGATGGCCGTGATCATTTCTACATGAGCAGACCAAATACCTATAATCCTATTTCTCGCCATCCTTACCGATGTGACGTCAGCTAGGATTAAATTAAGATAAAAGTTTAAAGTAGTGTTTGTTTTTTTAACTCCAACGTTGTAAAAACTGTCCATGAGCATACAATGAAAATGGCCGTGATCTGAGCTACTGATTTACATTTTTTTTAAATTTTCTTGACGTATAAACCATCTCTAGACTTCCACAAATAATTTAAGACCAAAATTAGCCAAATAAGTAAAGGCATTGTTTATTTATAACATTACAACGAAAAGTGGCATTGATTTTTATATTTATACCTAAAATAAGAATACTTGATAGAAATATTTTTCCATCAGACCGCCACAAATGGTCGCGACCATTAGGGCCAATTTCCAGCCGGAGTGCCTGGTACAAGCCTAATAACGAAGTTCTGTTGCCCTCCTTGCTCAGGGATAGAGAAGTTAATGAATGGTTTTTCAACTTTAAAAATAAAAAAAAACTTTTTTATAATTTCAAGAGGAAATCATACATTCTTTTAAACCTGGAATTTCACCGCCTAAATAATACTCTAATGATCTCATTATTAGTTAGCCTACTTAAATTTGCGTGGCATCGGGAAAACCAATTATTTTGTTGCAACTTAGGGCATACGTGACCCAAATTATCTAAAGTTTCTGCTTTATGAAATGTTACTTTCAAATAATAATGTTTTATATAAAAAAAACTTGAGGTACTATTCTGCAGTTGATCAGGAAAAAAAATTAAATTCACAAGTACTCTATCAAGCCCTTTCTGTCAAATTTTTCATTAACCCTTTCCATTTCGCAAATCGATTGCAAATAAACCGTAAAGAAGATTACTTTCGCAATCAATAATATTATGACAATAATCTTTTGTTGCAGGTGACGCTTCAGCCGAAGATATTGATATAGCCATGAAATTGGGCGCCGGCTACCCTATGGGTCCTTTAGAACTGGCCGACTTTACAGGGCTTGACACAAAGAAATTCGTCCTAGGTGTCATGCACGAAAAAACTGGGCTCCCGGCCTTTGAGCCAATACCTCTCCTTAACAAACTCGTCAGCGAAGGAAAGTTTGGACGGAAAACTGGGGAGGGTTTCTATAAATATGATAAATGATGATCTCTGTGAATTATGAAAATGAAATCTGTGAATATATTTTTGTTAATGTTACCTCATACTTTTTCTTTTATTTTCCACTAGCTATTCTCGCGCGGTTTCACCCGCTGCTCGGCTCCATTTAGTCGTAGCGTGATGCCTAGCCAACAGCACTCTGGAACATTGTAGCTATCTATCAGTGAAAGAATTTTGGAAATCCGACCAGCGGTAACAAAGATTACCCCCTACATACAAACTTAAAAATTTTACCTCTTTATAATATTAGTATAGATCACTTGCTTGTTTGTTTATTTCCTATTTTCAGAACAAAATAACTGTCTATTTAATGCGTTTACAGTCGCCTACATTCAATAGGTACTTAAGTAAGTAATTTAAGTTTAGCTTCCTGCGCAGGCGCATACATTCAACACAAAATATCTACTCTAAAGCTTGATTACATGCTTAACTACTTAATACACTATATTCATATTTTTTGCATAAAAAGATATTCCAATTCCATTCCTACTCTTTTAAACTAAGCTATTACCCACCTGGTATATTTTTCAGTCTCATACAATACGATATCGTTCCAAATCTTTGAGTGCACAAGTACTTAACTAAGGTATCTTCCTATGTTGATAGATACTATTAATGTTTCCTAAAAGTGGTTACTTACGTTACCTATTTTATAACTGATAGCTGACATATACATATACTTAAATGAATCATCTCATCAAAGATATATGAAGGACCGAAAGATGATTTTACCTTAGGTACGTCTGCCACGTACAGAATGACTGAACCAAATCTATATTTTTCATGACTCATATCTACAATTCTACATAAGTATATACAATCACCCTGCTCCTTCTTCTGCTCCCAGACCGAGGCTGCATTATTATCCTTGCACCTGCAACCTCGGATTAATATCGACTGTACGGTTCACGCGGTGGCTGGGCAACTGGCCGCATGGAACAACTGTTTGTGTGATCCACAAATTGTTGTTCCGGGTCTGGGTGTGATGTGCATGTGACATTGCATGTTTGTAAACCACGACATAGGAGAAAATCATAGGGTTGGGCAACGTCTTTTTTTAAAAAACGAAAAATAAATGTAGCATCTGCCGCTTAGTTAGATCCTATTTAATAAAATAACGTGATTTCTGGAAGCATTATGAGCATAAAGTGACTGTTTTTGGGCTATTTTTTTTTTGACATCTAACTATTTCAAGACATTGATTTTTCAAATCTAAAAAAAAAACATTCGAGTACGTAATGCTATAATATTTAGTATCGATATCACGAATGTCGTAAAAATATCAATTGATAAACACAAGTCAATCTTGATTTATTGTGTTGATTAGATATCGAGTTAAATCCTTAGCATGTCCGTAGGTACGTCTCGCGAATATTTCAGTTGCGTTCGGAGTTTGGTTCCCACCGCAGTGATTTCGCCTTAATAGGTACCTGTTATTATTAATAATAAAATGTAATATACTAGTCATTTGCGGTCACCTGTGGAAATATATTAAAGATGTTTTGTGTTACCTACATTAATTAGTTCAGTCTTCGTCATCCCGTAGTGTTGTGTGTGGTCGCTTAGTTAAAACCATTGTTTTTGTTTTATTGAGTATTGCATGGTATTGTATTTCGTTTCAAAATGGATTTTTCAGGTAACGATTTTGAGTCTTATTACAAGGAAGTTTAAAATGAACCTAGTTTTGAAATAAATTATTAATGTTGGTAGCAAATTCAACGTGTGTTGCTAAGTGCAGATTTGAAGCGAACAGATCTGTTTTTTTTTTGTTTTGTTAATTAGATGAAGTTTAAGGACCTTTAAAACTATTTAAAGAAGACCTTTCTTACATTACAGTGGCAATATATTCTATTATTTTACAGTCAAATTAATAATGGTTTGCGGTTTTCTGATTACTTCGTATGTACCTTTTAGCGTAACGGAGGACATTTTTGGATCATGTGATTGTTGACATGAAAATATTTATAAAGGTGTTGCATTGGCACACCTGCCTTAGTTATCACATTGTACGCAGTCTTACATATTGTTTTGTTTGTTATTTAAACATGCTTTTTCAGTTGATCACAAAATAATGAGTAGTTTTTATTGAAGTCATATTAACGGTAGTATGTCGTTTTGAAGACTCTTGAACACATAATTATACCTACATAACAACAATGATTGTCTACTTCTACTATTATAATAAAGAGGAAATAATTGATTATTTGAATTGAATAGGCTCTGAAACTACTTGACTGATTTGAAAAAAATATCCCCTACGAACAAAGGCATATACATATTACTCGAGTGAAACCACGGGTTACAGATAGTATTCAATCTAATTTAAGGCTCGTTTATATGATACCATACTTATTGCTTAGACCACGTATTATTGCTATATTTTATTTTTTTTAATATGAAAAATTGCCCCCCCACTTGAATCCTGAATCGTGGGTGCTTTAACGAATATACATATTCATGTAGATACACAAGCCACCCAGACCCGAAACAAAAATTTGTGCATCATACAAAGAGTTCTTACGTGCGGGAATTGAACTCGCGACGCGTTGCACAGCAGCCAGCTACCCAGCCACTGCGACAGCAATCTACAACGATCTATTTAGCAATGATTACAAGACATGAAATTAAGTAAATAAAAATAAAACAGGTTAATGCTTAGAATATGTGCTATATGTGAGTCATTACTTCGATAAGTATTCTAATTGGGAATTGCCCGCATGCATCGTTTGTAAGCCGTCGTTTAAGAATAATACTTATTCCAAAGCGGTAGTGTCTACATTGTATTGTTTAGTATTGTATTAGTCTACATTCGGTAGGTTTACGTGTGCAAATATCCTTATTAGTGTACTCATAAGTACTTAAACTGGCTGTTCAGTACAAAAATTACTTAATAAAGTGCGTAAAATAAATAACTATTCTATTCTTAAAATTTTATGTGTCGTATGTATGTTCGCGATAATCTCAGAAACTGCTGCGCTGTGATTTAAACGATTTACAAAAGTGCAAACAATGATTCTTTAGGGAATATTTTTAAAGATTTTAAAGAAGAAACTAACTAGTTAGAGTGACAAGTCGGTAACAAATTGCTGTAGTAATTGTCTTAATTTATATTGAGGAAGCAATTAGGTAAGGTCGATGTGGTTTTCTTGTAACTCAGTTTCTTGTTAAAAAGTAGTTCGTTGTACATTTTGACGGTGTAGCCATTGTTACGATGGAGTTACATTTATTGTTTAAAACCTTGTTTAGATGAATTGGTGATTCGTTTTTCGTTACTTAGTTTAAATGCTTAATTAAATATTGAATGCGGCAGTTTGTAATTATTTTTCTTTTAATCGTTTATTGCTATGTTTTCAATTATACGTGTCGGAGGGAATTATTAAGTGTGTGTTGAATTAACCAAATGTGATTAACGTGATCTAATTATAATTATCACGAGTTGTTTCTAAAAGTTTGCACCGTTTCTACTGGTTTCAATAAATCCTTCTTCGGGGGATAGGCATTCTTATTAACGAGCAGACGGATTCCCTGATGGTAAGCTATCCGCGCCGCCCATGGGCACTCGCAACACCACCACAACGTTAACTACAAGTTGTTGTTAAAGATTTTACTTGTTATGAGGTAGATACTCAAGGACAATCCCCGGCTAGCGGCGACTATTGCGGATAATGTGTCCCTTGTAATCATCAGGCAACCCACAGGTATGGGTTGCTATGGACTGGTATGATGGGAACTATGACACGACTATGGCACCCTGCCTGAAACAATGTAGTTACACATAAAAATGGCCGGTGGAGACTCGCCAACTCACGGTCCAAGATGAAATTATTATTTGTTGAAAAAAAAGCAACATAGGGATAACGGAAAATATTGAGTACAAGTTACTACCACTGCTGGGCTCCTACAGATCGCAGCGTGATGGGTTATAGCCTATAGCCTTCCCCGATAAATGGACTAAAAACACAAAAATAATTGTTCAATTCGAACCAAAAGTTCCGGATATTAGCGCTTTCAAACAAAGAAAACTCTAACAGCTTTATAATATTAGTATAGAAAGTATATATTCTATTCAACATTGCCCCACACTAATATTTACTCCTGTGTCGTGGGTGCGGTTACAAACATACAATTTCACATAGATATAGATATACATCACACCTTGACCCGGAACAACAATTTGTGGATCACACAAAGAGTTATTCCGTGCGGGAATCGCACCCGCGCGCGTTTTACGTTGCACAGCAACCAGTTTTACTAATTATTAATTTTTTTTATTAATTATTACAAATATTTTAAAAATTTATTACTTTTAATTCCAGGCTCAGAACTAAATGAGCGATGTATCAGAGAAGAGTAGACGCAGCGTGCGACGGCAGCGCTCCATCTACCAGGTGCACTACAGCATGCGGCGGCAGGACGCCGAGATGACGGCCAAGCCGCTGCTCATGCCCACCAGCCCGGTTGAGGTGCAGGCCTACGCACTCCAGGTGGCCGGACATAGGAACACTGAGGATACTAAGTACTTAGGTATAAAGATCATAATTTTGAATTCATGACCTTTTTTTTTGTGAGGGGAAAATCGTCAAATGGCTTCTCCCGCCCAGGGCCGGGCGGAAGACTCTTACTGCCTAAAAACCCCACTGTTCCTTCTCTTGCTCTGGACCAAGGTCGCGGTGCCTCATTGCGCTTACCCCGCAACCCCGGCTGGACATCAGCCCTTTAGGGCCCCGTCTGTAGTGGTCTATTGGCTCTTTGAGGCGCGCGCGGAACGCTACGCGCCGTATGCTCGGGTCTGGTTCTGGTCGGGCGGCGAGCTGCCCTTACTCGCCGACCGCAGGCCCGTGCTTACGGTGGCCGGAGATCGTCCCTTGATCCCCGACGCCCGTAGTGTCGCCTGTTCGCGCGGCTGGGGCGTGAGGAGGAGCATTGCCGCCTCTCTCTTTGCGAGGAATTCATGTCCTTAAGCTTTCTCATGCTTGAGGGTCCGCCTGCCAAGTAGTAATGTGACTTTTTCCAATTTATATGTACTTTCTATGACCACCTCAGACATACGGTGAAGGGAAACATCGTGAGGAAACCTGGACTTAAATAATTGTAAGTTTGAAATCGCCAACACGCCTTGAGCAAGCGTGGTGATTAATGCTCAAACCTTCTCCGTGCGAGAAGAGGCCTTTGATGAAGACGTGTGTGCTTAAGCTACCACAAGGTCATCATCATATCAGCCACAGAAGTGATATCGACAGTATAAAATATATTTGCAAGTGCTTCCCTAAGGAAAACTAACTGATTCTAATCATTTTCCAATGCCTAAAATCAGAGGGGATGTTCATCATTGATAGATTTTTTTTTGACAATTGGTAGGTAAGATTATATAAAACATTGCAAGCGCATTGCTGCTTGCCGAGTAGCCACATTGTATGGAAGTTAGAAGGATTTTAAAATGATTCAGTAAGGTAGAATATTTGCAAAAAACACGGAAACCCAACAACCCATTGATAGTTAATACTTTGTTTGACCTCGATATGGAACGAATCTACGACCTTTTTGTTTATCGACTGAATGCGTCCAAGAAAGTATTATTAACGCAAATGTTCGTGTGAATGGATGGATTAATGTTTATTGTTGTATAGCCTGTTATAGCTTATCGATTACATAGCATATTTAAAAAAAGTCTAGGTACCTAAGTTAAATAAAGCGCTACCGAAGCCCGAGTAACAATTTTGTTTTTATGGCATAGGTCGACAAACGACCCCCCAGGATTACCTGATGGTAAGCAATCAGGGCTGCCCATGGGCACGGGTAATACCAAAGGAATCACTACAAATGCTTTGCCGACCTCTTGTGGGTTATTCGGGATACATGGATAGCGGATTTGAGGATTGTAGATGGGGGAGGAGGGGAATAATTGAGCCTCCGGTAACGTCACTCACACGGCGAAACACTTGTGTTGCTTCACGCCAGTTTTCTGCGAGGCCGTGGTATCACTCCGGTTGAGCCGACCCATTCGTGCCGAATCATGGCTCTCCAACACTAAATGGGATAAATAACTAGGTAATACCAATACCAAATAACTTTCTACCTTTAATTTACATTAATACTTCTATTAATATGTATTTCCAGGTCTCCTCCAATGCAACAATGGCACGATAATGAAGCCTATCATAAAGGAGTCTCAGAAACGAGAGGTGGACTTTTACGAACATCTAAAGAGTAGCACGCAAGCTGAGCTGCTGGAGTTAAGGGGTCTTGTGGCGAAATACTTCGGAAACAGAAAGTATACGTACAACGGGTTCGAACAGGATTACATCATACTGGAGGATCTTACTGAGAGAATGCTGGAGCCTTGTATTATGGATGTTAAGATTGGTAAGCGTCTCATGTTTTTTGGAGAGGTGAATCATTCAGTGATTTGTCCCTCCCTGGATAGAGCGAAAAAGGGCTTGGCTGGCACAGACCCAATCCCTAAATCTGAAATCCTCATTCCCAATAGGTCGGCAGGACACTAGTTACTATTCCGGTGTTGGTGGTGTCTCTGGGCGGCGCTGACTGCTTAACATCAAATGTGATAGGAGGGCAAACAAACAAACGGAGCATCTATTGGTAAACAATCAACTCCGCCCTATGGACATCCGCAACAGCAGAGTGATTATGGAGGCATTAGGAATTAGAAAACTTTATGTAGATAAGCATATTTATTGAAACCTATGTCCTACTCCACCGGTTTTGTGTGAGGCCATGGTATCACTCCATTTGAATCGACCGATGTGCCAAAGCATGGCTTTCCACTCTTAGACCTTTCTCCTCCTCCTTTGATCCTCCTAATCTGCAATCTCCAATTATGGCTCAACTTGCTAAAGGAGGCTCGTAGTGTACTTACTTGGAATTTTATCAGCTGTTGACGATATTTATGAATTAGATCTGCCCGCTCAACTATGCTCCCTTCTTTGCGTGTTTTTTCGGCATGCTATCAGTTTTTAGTTTTGTATGTTAGCACATTTTATGTCCCGTAACATTTAATTGCAATTGGGCATTAAGTAAAACTGTTTTAATAGGGTGGGCAATTTGTATCAATAATACCAACAAACGAATCACCTTTAAAAAAAGGTGCAGCTTAGTTAGGTACTGCGGTTGGCCTGAAGGTGATATCGTATCTTTACGACGGCGACGTATACTATATCCCAGAAGATTGCTAAAAGTAAAGCTAAATTGTCCATCACAATCTGGAGATATCAGCCAGATTACTGTACTGTCTCACTCATCTTAGTAGGTACCTACGTGTTATAGGCAGATAATTAGAAATTAAAAGAATAGGTTTCTTTAGTCTTAGTAACCCTTTGCTTTTGGCCTTACATTCATCCCAACAGAAAATGTAATAATATACAAGAAAATGTAAGAATAGAAATATGTTTTTTCAAAACTTGTTCGATTGTTTTTTTTATTCATTAGTTGTTACAATATTTCTCCGCCTTTACGTCATAATTACTCATAATAAGTATAGGAACCAGCAATGATTCTGTAACACCATAATATTTAAATAGGAACCTATGTTATACCAATAAATATTATGTGTCTGATCCTCCTCAATCCTCTTTTACTGAAAAAAGACGATTATTTGAGTGTTTGACATTGGTTTATAAATGGTCAAATAACGGCATTTCGTTTACAAAAAGCAAGAAGAAACGTTCTCCAGCCCCAGAATTAGTCATCACAATCGAATTATCTAAACTTTAAACTCAAATATTTCAGGCAAGAGAACATGGGACCCGCTAGCGACGGAAGAGAAGATAAAGAACGAACAAAGCAAGTACGCGGCGTGCAAACAGCAGTACGGGTTCTGTATCCCGGGGTTCCAGGTGTACCGGCTCAGTACTGGCAAGCTGTGCAAGTACAACAAGGACTACGGGAAACGGCTGCAAGGACATGCTGTTAAAGAAGGTACCTACTTCCTACATCAATTTATGTCGTACTGTATTCCCACTTTACTGTTGAACGAAGTGACTCGACTAATTTCAAGTCATGCTCGTCGCGTCGTGGTAAAATATCTCGCTAGATTTATAATATTAGAGATTTCTTTGTAATATGTGCAGGGTACAGAATGACACGAATAAACTTATACTAATCGTATATAGGACACTTAGCTGTTATTAGATGTAATTTATCTCAACCACTTAAAAATGTGACGGCAAGTACCGTAAACCTCAGCCGGAGTTGCGAGGTAAGCGCAATGAGGCACCGCGACCTCGGCCCAGAGCAGGAGAAGGAACAGGGGGAGAGTCTGCCACTCCCTCCCGCCCGGTCCTGGGCGGGAGAAGTCATTTGATGATTTTCCTTTCACAAAAAAAAAAGAAATAAAAGTACCGTAAATCGCAGATGAGGCCCAACAGGAACGGTGTTTAGCCGGGGTTGCGGGGCAAACTCGGGTAGGTACCGGCCTCGACCAATTATTATAGCAGAAAAAAGAACGGGGTTAGTCAGTAAGAATCTGACACTCCCTCTCTGATAGAAGTCATTATGGTGTGATAGGTGACTCGAATGCTTACCATAATTTTCTTTTTCACATCCAGCAATCCGCAACTACCTGAACGGTATAGGAGCAACTCTCTGCCGGGCGTTACTGCTGCAGTTTCTGTCGGAACTATGGAAGATACAGAAATGGTCGCGGCGGCAGACGGCGGTGCGGCTGTACAGCGCGTCCCTGCTGCTGGTGTACGACGCGGCCAGGCTGCGGGACTGCTGCCAGAGCAAGGAGTTCACGTAAGTCTACGTACAGCTAGCTGCAAGTGTAGGAGAGCTTCGAGCGAGGTGATGCCACGGCCTCGCAGAAACAACCACATCGTTGTGTTTCGCTATGCCCTTAATCCTTAAATCTCCGAAAGATAAGGTTTTCAACATATTGCCCAAAAAGGCTGGCAACATCCTTGTAACTCCTCTGTTGTAACGTGGGCGACGTCGTTAGGTAATACGTCTGCCCGTTTGCTGGTTTGCTGGTTACAAATTGTCTTGGTTAGTTGGAGTAGTCTGGGTTCTGAATGGTATCCGTAATCCTAATCCTAACGTTGACGTTTTAACAGTGACTTTTATAGGATTAATTAAAATATCCTTGGTTGACTTTGAAACCTGTTTTTTTAATCAGTAAATCTTTTTGGTGGTATTATTTTATCGAGTAGAAAACTGAATGCATACCTTTTATTTACAAGAGTCACTTATATTGTGCGCCCTTTTTTGTACAGAAAAATACCAAGTCGTGTTATAGGAAACACACATCGCAATACTCGTAGTATCCATCCATACATAGTACATACATTAGAATTACACTAAAAACACAAGTGCAAGTCGGGCTCGCCCATGAATTCGATTTAAGAATAACACTCGTAAAAAAAAACAATTTCTAGATGTCGCTTGAGCAATCTAGTTCGTACAGAAAACTATGTATATTCCTAATAACTATTCATAAATATGCCTCATGAATAGGATCGATGAAAATAAAGACTGTCAGTCAGCTCTAAGTTCTAGTAACAGTCAACAGTATTTATAGGTTCGAATAAAAGTTTTTGGATGTGACTTACAGATCGACATGTCAAATCTAATTAAGGATACTGCATCTCGCCGTTATTGCTACACTACCCTAAAATATAAAATAAGCAGGAGATTATCATACACAAGAAAAAGATTCCAAATCTGCTCAATAGATGGCGTTGTTCCGTTCGTGACGAATCCTGAATCGCGCTATGGTTTCGTTACACGCGTTTGTACTAGTATCGGCCGCGCGGTGGCTCGGACAAAAAAGGGTGTTTGCCGCTTAGATGGCACATGCGTCGCAAGGCGCGTGGGGTATGGCTATCAAGACATACCCAACACGTAATTTTTGTATGTGAGAAGCAGTTGGTACCTAAAATACCGGCGCTTCTTCTAAGAATACCTATAAAATATTATTTAATTAAAAATATTTTTCACAAATAAATCTGATTAATGCCCTGCACAGACTGAGCTAATCAAAACATGGCGCCACACGCGAGGAAACAGTATTTAAAGATAAAAAGTAATAACTAAGTGAAGTGTTTTTAACATTGATTGCGATAATCAGGTATTACGGGACTTTTAATTGCAATGAATTATTAAAATATAATCATACTTTAATTCACTGATTTGATTATATACCTACTTACTTAATTTTAAATGGTTTTTTAGTTATTTTTCATTTTTTTTAATTTAATTTATTTCACGTGAAAATACATATTAAGACGTCATATCATAATTATGTAGCGATCTCTTACAAAATTCATCGAAGTGTCGCTTTTGACATTAATAAAAGTATTGAATTTGACTAATTAGAAACTACGAATTGTTAATTTAAACTACTATCTTTAATTTAAATTTCCACAAGTTGGCTATTTGTTAAACGATATACAAATACATATCATAATCTAGACTGCCAAAAGAGAGATTACCTTCAAAATATGTTTAGAATTGGTGTGTACTTACTTACACCAGATAAAAGGGATTCATAGGAATTCTTTCTGCTGGCAATACATGGATTGGATAGATATAGATAGATACCTCGTCTGGTAGTCAAATTGCAGAGCGCAATAAAAATGAACATAATAATCTATAAACATATAATAGGTATGTAATTGCCGTTCTGCAGTACTGGCCATTTCAAATCAAAATAGTTTTTGTTAGGCTAACGCCCGGTTTCTGAAAGGCTTGTCAACGCTAAAATTAACTAATCTCCTGTTAAATCTCTTGTCAAGTGTCAATTGGGTTGCATAAAGCATGATTATATCAACTAATTTGATCATCATGTCAGTTGACATGGCTGTCAAATCAACTCAAGAATCGAATGATTATCGCAATTTTGGGTTTCTGAAACGCTGGTCAAGCCTTGATCATAGATTATTCGTCTGTCAAAAGCTCGGTCAACTAATCGGTGCTTGTTGGCGAATTAACTTACGAATACAACTGATTTTTCACGTGAGTCTACATTTTCACTTCAAATAAGTATATTTTTTTAAGGTATGTTAAACAGAAATATGTATTACGAAATTGTATTTGTAATTTGTAATAATACAATTTTCTTTGTGTGTAAATTATTTGATATCTTGATTAACTTACAATGATTCTGATTTTAGATTACGATAATGTCTCTTTCGAATAGTAGCATGATGAGTATCAGCACATCCAGCAGCGATGAAGATTTAAGACCAGAATGAATCCGTTTGATTTCTACAATGAAGAGGAATTTAAGAATCGGTACCAACGGACAAAGGCGTTTGTGCTGTTAGGTACTAGTTAACATGGTAGAGCCGTATATTGAACAGTTCACTTTGAGGAACCATTCTATCAGTGCTTTGGATAGCTGTTACTGACAATAAGCTATTACCATGCTACATGAGCTTTCGTGAGACATTCTAAATTATTTATTATGTTTTCGGCTTACTCACGTAATAATTTGACGAGATACTCGACTAGTTTCAAGCCATGCTAGAGGCCCATATTCATGAGCAGCATTCCGCGACACGCGACTCGGCGACCGTCGCGCTGCTACTGGCTACTCGAGTCTGCGCGCCCAACGCGCCCTCTGCCGTGATTCACGCGCACTTTCTTCTAGCCGTGGTGTTGGCAGCGACGGCGCGCGCGACACTGTTGGCACGCTAGACTCGCCCGCCTGCAGCTGCGTTGGTGTTGGGTTCGAATCCCGGGTCGACGCAAAATCAGTGTTACATACCGCGCTAACTGTGTCACGCGCAGACTCGAGTAGCCAGTAGCAGCGCGACGGTCGCCGAGTCGCGTGTCGCGGAATGCTGCTCATGAATATGGGCCTCTAGCATGGCTTGAAACTAGTCGAGTATCTCGTCAAATTATCACGTGAGTAAGCCGAAAACATAATAAATAATGCTACATGAGCATTTCAAATTACGGCTGATGAGTGTGCACAAATCTACGGCTTGTAGAATAATAACAAAAGAATCTGCAGCGATTACTATGCCCTGTAAACATGAAGATTGCACAAGGATAGAAACAGAATCCTACAAAATTAGCTCTTTTCCAAATGTGATTAGGGCATTTGACTGCACACGTGTACAGATACACTGTGACCCACAAGCTGAGCTGTACAGAAACAGGAAAGGATATTTCTCAAGTATATCTTAGGATAGTTCAAGAAGATATTGGTGCTCTTTCAGTGATAAATTAAAAAACACTTATGTGCGCACACCTTTATTGATGACTCATTTTATTTGTTAAGTTATATTAATGGTATGTTTTTTTACGTGAATACAAAGAAATAACCATATTATTAACATGTTTAATTAATCTTTATAAAATATAACACTTGAAATATAAAAACAAGTATATTATCTTACTTATACATATTTAGTTAGTATAGTAACTTACTTATATTTAAATTAAATACTAATAATGTATATTTCTTAACCAAATGATATATAGTTAACCAATATTCTAATAACTTTTTTTTTTATTTTCATCATCCATCTTTATTTCATTATACTTCTTATTATTTTGTTTCTGAGTGCCTGCCTCTCATGTTTCCTTTCATTGTTTCCTTGATGTGCAAGTTAAATTACCTGTAAATAAATTTCATTAAAGTTGCAATAATTATTCTTAATACATTATTAGGTACTTAGTTAAGAAATCAGGACAGGTATTTAATATATCCTGGTAATATAATCTGGTAACGGTTACAATATTCTGACTAGCTAGTATGGGCACTATAAAAGTATTTTAAGATCAAAAACTTACATTTTTATTGGCTACATTCTGTCTCGTAGTTCTTTTTAATTCCAATAGGCTATGATTAGCTGTTTTTGGCTTCGAGGCACTTCTGCATTACTGTAGAATTCGTTCGTTGTGGTTTCCCGAGCTTCATTTTTATTAATAGTAAAAATAGCATTTGTGCACCGATTATCAATTATGTGCTTGTATCTGTAATAAAACATGGTGCGTATTATACATCAGTTTTGGCTGCAGCGCAGGATGTGAATTATAAACAAAGATATTTTATACTTTTATACAACAATAGGTTTATAAAACGCAATAGGTAAAAAATATATGTTTATACTTATACTTACTTCTGAACTCGTTCTAAAAGAACATGCCTTTCCCTTTCGATGAAATTCTTCCCTCGTTATGCCGTTTTAAGCAAGTTTAATTAGCATTTTATTGAAATTGTAACTTTAATATTTGAATTTCGCAGAATTTTTTGACATCAATGACAGTCCGTAAATTTTTAAATATAACATATTTGACAGATAAGAATGAACTATTGAACAAGAAAGAGCAGTGTGGCTATGATTAAAACGAAATCGCATGTCAAATCAAAATAATCATAGATTAGTTAATTATGGTCTGATCAACGTTTCAGAAACTCAAATTGATTTGACAGTCATGTCAAATTAATCACAGTGTTAGTTGATCAACGAATTGACAAGCCTTTCAGAAACTGGGTGTAAGGCTAATTAATTTTGTTTTAAGAACATGGAACGACTTCTTTTTCCAAAAGTAGTCATTTGTTTATTGATTAGTGTTACCTACATTTTCATCGCATTTCAAATAAAAAAATTCGTTTAAGTTTTTTCATGCAAAACGGCAATTTCATAGGTAAAGACCTATTATAAAAATCAATGCCACTTTTTGTTGTAATGTTATAACACAACAATGTCTTTACCGATTTGGCTAATTTTCGTCTTGAATTATTCGTGGAAGTCCAGAAGTTCATACGTAGAGAAGACACACTTCCCACAAACAATTTGTACTTATACCTAAAAACAAATTTGATCCTTTGTTACAATTTTAACCAATTTGAACATTTTTTTTATTACATACGCCCGGTTTCTGAAAGGCTTGTCAACGCTAAAATTAACTAATCTCCTGTTAAATCTCTTGTCAAGTGTCAATTGGGTTGCATAAAGCATGATTAATCAACTAATTTGACCATCATGTCAGTTGACATGGCTGTCAAATCAACTCAAGAATCGAATGATTATCGCAATTTTGGGTTTCTGAAACGCTGGTCAAGCCTTGATCATAGATTATTCGTCTGTCAAAAGCTCGGTCAACTAATCGGTGCTTGTTGGCGAATTACGAATACAACTGATTTTTCACGTGAGTCTATATTTTCTCTTTAAATAAGTATATTTTTTAAGGTATGTTTAACAGAAATATGTATTACGAAATTTTATTTGTAATAATACAATTTTCTTGTAAGCGTAAAATAATTTGATATCTTGATTAACTTACATTGATTCTGGTTTTAGATTACGATAATGTCTCTTTCGGATAGTAGCATGATGAGTCAGCACATCCAGCAGCGATGAAGATTTAAGACCAGAATGAATCCGTTTGATTTGTCTACAATGAAGAGGAATTTAAGAATCGGTACCAACCAACGGACAAAGACGTTTGTGCTGTTACTAGTTAACATGTTAGAGCCGAAAGTTAAACAGTTCACTTTGAGGAACCATTCTATCAGTGCTTTGGAATAGGTGCTGCTGACAATAAGCTATTACCATCATACTTGAGCATTTCAGATTATGGTTACTGGTACAAATCTATGGTAGAATAATAACAAAAGAATGTGCAGCGATTACTATGCCCTGTTAACATCAGGATTGCACAAGGATAAAAACAGAATTCTACAACGTTATATTAGCTCTTTTCCAAATGTGATCGGGGCATTTGACTGCACACATGTAAAGATAGTCTACTGGTGGGCCACGTGCTGATTTGCACAGGAACAGGAAAGGATATTTCTCAAGTATATCTTAGGATAGTTCAGAAAATATTCTTTCAGAGATAAATGAAAACACTTCTGTGCGCTCATCTTTATTGTTGACCCATTTTAATTGTTAAGTAATATTAATGGTCTGTATTTTTAGGCGAATTCAAAGAAATGACCATATTATTAACATGTTTAATTCATCTTTATAAAATATAATATAACACTTGAAATATAAAAACAAGTATATTATCTTACTTATACATATTTAGTTAGTATAGTAACTTACTTATATTTAAATTAAATACTAATAATGTATATTTCTTAACCAAATAATTTAAGTATTTTATTTCGAAATAATTATATGCTGTTTTATAGTTAACAGATATTCTATAAACTTTTTTTTATTGACATACTCCATCTTTATTTCTTTATACTTCTTATTTTGTTTCTGAGTGCCTGCCTCACATGTTTAAATTGTTTCCTTGATGTGCAAATTAAATTACCTGTAAATAAATTTCATTAAAGTTGCAATAATTATTCTTAATACATTATTGGTACTTAGTTAAGAATCGGGACAGGTATTTAATATATCCTAATCAATATTATATATCCTAATTTAATATATCCTAATCAATAATATAAAATACAATATTCTGACTAGCTAGTGTGGACATTATAAAAGTATTTTAAGATCAAAAACTTACATTTGTATTGGCTAAATTGTGTCTCGTAGTTCTTTTTAATCCCAATAGGCTGTGATTAGGTGTTTTTGGTTTCGAGGCACTTCTGCATTACTGTTGAATTCATTCGTTATGGTTTCTCGAGCTTCATTTTTATTTATAGTAGAAATAGCATTTGTGCACTGATTATGAATTATGTACTTGTATCTGTAATAAAACATGGTGCGTATTATACATCAGTCTTGGCTGCAGCGCAGGATGGGAATTATAAACAAAGATATTTAATACTTTTAAACAACAATAGGTTTATAAAACGCAATAGGTAAAAAATATATGTTTATACTTATACTTACTTCTGAACTGGTTCTAAAAGAACATGCCTTTCCCTTTCGATGAAATTCTTCCCTCGTTATGCCATTTTAAGCAAGTTTAATTAGCATGTTATTGAAATTGTAACTTTAATATTTGAATTTCGCAGAATTGTTTGACATCAATGACAGTCCGTAACTTTTTAAATATTAACATATTTGACAGATAAGAATGAACTATTGAACAAGAAAGAGCAGTGTGGCTATGATTAAAAATAAATCGCATGTCAAATCAAAATAATCATAGATTAGTTAATTATGGTCTGATCAACGTTTCAGAAACTCAAATTGATTTGACAGTCATGTCAATATAATCGCAGTGTTAGTTGATCAATGAATTGACAAGCCTTTCAGAAACTGGGTGTCAGTCTTATACGTAGCGTAGCACGTACCGGGCCGCTAGTATCTATATTTATTATTACCCATTTACCTTCCAGAGCTCGCGTAGGTTGTCGCCCAGCGTCCGTGCCCCGGCGGCGACACTCCCTGCACAGCGTGGGCTCGGGCTCCAACTTCAGCGGCCAGATCTCCTCGAAAGGTCCCGTGTATAAGAAACTACAATCCGTCCCGCTCTCCCCTATGTCCCACTCTAGCTTCTCACCCCCACCGCCTATCAAGTCGCCGTGGTCTGAAGCCCTCGCCAGTTTCAACCACAACCACTCCTTCGAACACAACTATGAGAACAAACTCTCTAAGATCAAGATGAACTACAGAGCCATGTTGGACCAATTGTCCTACGACTCGCCTACTCCCAACCCGTGGGGCACCGTCAAGATCATTGACTTTGCGCACGCCTTCTTCAATGGTGATGAAGAAAAGCAAATCGATGAGAATTTCAGAGAAGGTATTGACAATTTTGTTGAAATTTTCGAATGTTTTCTGAGAGAAACTGATGACCAAGTACTATGATACAGCCAACGTTTACTTGCAGAAGGTGTGTAAAGTTATAAATAAAATAAAGAGAAGATATTTTGTGGCCGTAGTTAAGGTTTTCAAATGTAATACTTACGTATTAACAAGTGTCACAGAGCGAAGTCATTACTCCTAGTCGCAGGTTTGAAACGGACAATATAATATTGTTCCTAATCTACATAGTTACTAAATATATAGCGTGAAACTTTGTAATGTTTGTCACTGGTGTCCTACAGTCAAATACAAAGTACTTATATTCATTCAATGTAATCTTGTGGTATTTCAATGTGTCAAACTTTTCTAAAAGACTACAGTATTGTTTGAATATGGTTCACTTCAATTTGTATTATCAATTAATGTGTACTCTTTACTGTTGTCTATAAGACTTGGATAGTTTTAATCAACATTGTATAACTGCCTATTATTTACTTAATGTTATTGTAACTCAATGTAATGCTCAATTTTATAAGCTAATTCATTTGTTACTAGGTGTTTCCCTACCCGGGACTTGTCAAGTCAAAATATTTTAGTACTTAAATAGATTTTATTATTCCAAATAATAGTTTTATATTGTTATTAATTAATATTAAGTGTGAAAAATGTAAATAAATTGTTTGACGCTTTCGCGTTATAAATATTTATTATCGAAATCAGCCAAAATTATTTCTCCCAAATAAACATTAACTATAAACTTAAATTATACAATCAAATACGAAAAATTGGCAAACCCAGCCGACAATAATGATTAATAAGTGGACTGACGAGTTGCACCGCACAGTCAGTAACAGTACAAAACTATATCATCTGTCAACATTACAATATATGTATGTATGTGTGTGTACCTCGTGCATGCACTAGTACACTAAACACAATATAGCTACAGTTCTAAATTATTAGAACCCGAATATTTACAGTAGGCCATGCAACATTTGTTCCAAGCAAAACGTTCGTGGCGCGCCGTCCAGCCAATTTGCGGGGCGTTACGCTTCAGGATTAGTTCTAGTGATACGTATTACTCATTTAGTTAATTTGGTACAACATTAGGATAATTTAGGTATCACGGTCGCCATGAACGTTAACCTGCAACGAGTAACATCGTCGGCGCAGCCGACTGACACCGAGTACGTACCGGCGAGTATGATATTCATATAAAATTAATATGTTTTAAGCATTAATTAATCTAGTGTTATACAATGTATTATACAACAACAAATTAGGCCGAGTGCTCACCGGACGACAACAACAACGCTTGTATAACTCCACTACAAGTGTAGCGTCGCCTGCGTATTACAATAACATCGCATCACTTTACAATCGCAGTCTTTTGTTTACAATACAGATACTTTCCTGTACTACGAGTACTACGATACGAAAGTATTTACAAAAGACGTGTAACAAGGGTCCAAAAGGACCCGCATAACAACAAGAGAAGGGATATCAGGCGAATGTTTGTACACCCTCGTACTGGAGCTATTTAACATTTATATAAATTTGCTGCTACAATTTCTATTTCTCATTTGTACTGTATCAACTTTAACATTTGGAACTGGAGACGCGCGGCTCGGGGCGGGCGATCGGCATCAGTAATAAATATAACGATCGTCCAAAGGGTCGCGCCGCCCGGAGGCGCGGGGCCGGCGAGCGCCCGGCGGTAGAAACCATACGCGTGTCCTAGCACGGAGTGAAGCACCTCGACGTCACCGGGGCCGATATTTTAGAGCGAACAATTATTTATTACATATATTTTTTTTGCAATTTTTTTCCACGACGATTTCATTAGAAAAGAAAACAAACACACACATGGCGGAGGATTTTTGAACATTTTTATCTTAAGGCTAGGCCGGGCCTAGATGCGCGGCAGCTTGGGCGCGTGTAGCGGCGCGTCGCGGCGGGGCGCGGCGGCGGCGGCGGCGGCAGCGCGGTAGTCGAAGGCGCAGCCGTGCGACTCGGCGTAGCGGTGCGCCGCGCAGTAGCAGCCGCCGCACCGGCAGCGGTGCACCGTCGCGATGCTCAGCCGCCGCCGGCACTGCCCGCACCGCGCGCGACGCCGCGCCCCGCCCCCGCCCCCGCCGCCCTCTGCCGGGGCCGCGGCCGGCTCGGGCGCCGGCGCCGGCGGCGGCGGGGGCGCGGGCGCGACGTCGAGGCGCTCATCGCTGAGATGCAGATGCTCGCGCGGGCGATGCCGCGACAGGGCGGGCAGCAGACGCGGGCCGCGCAGCTTCTCGAGCTCGGACGTGGACGACGACAGCACGTGCAGCGACGCGGCAGACTGCGCCGCGCCCAGCGACACCCACGACCGAGACGACCCGCACACCAAGCCTCCTGGGAAAGACAAACGGCACTATTATTGCCAAATAACCGTAATAAAAACTTACTCGAGGACACATTTTATTCAAACATGTTTGTCAATCAATTTACCAACATAACATTATTTTACAATATTAACTTGATATTTTTCTTGATAAATACAAATTATATTTCTTTCATAGAATCCTCCTCCTGACAAAAAGAATCACAAAAAAAAACGATCACATCGTTGTTGAGTTATGCGCTTACCATTTAGCGATATACTTTTTTATATATGTATACAGATTTAAAATGAAACTGTGTAGGAATGTAAGAAATGAATACAGACCGTAGTCGGGCTGCGCGGCGTCCCCGGGACGGGTCGGGGCGGCGGGCGCCAGCGGCGGCAGCAAGGCGGGGCGCGGCGCGGCGCAGGCGCAGCGCGCGGTGTAGGCGGGGGCGGCGCGGAACGAGTCGTCCGCCTCGCTGAACGGCGCGTACGACGCCGCGCGCTGCTTCAGCCCGCCGCCGCTCTCCTCCAGTAGGCTAGGGACGGATAGTGTTTCTTCGCTACGAGTCTTCTGTATTTCTACTTTATCTGCAATACAAATTCATTGTTCTTTATTTCCAACCAAATTAACTTTCGTATAATCAATATTAAAAACGAATGAATTTGATGACGCGACGATTTGAGCGACACCCAACTCATGTTTGAAAGCCCCGTTATAACTCAAAACTACATAGTCAGGTAACCTTGAATAGTCTACATAAGTATTATTATTTTTTTCTGAGTATACAAGTATAAAGAACATTCGTCGCGTACCGGGAGTGTCAGCGCGAGCGCGTGGCGCGGCCCTCTGCACGGAGAGTGTCTCCATGCGGCGACGCAGGTCGAGCATCTTGCCCATGGTGATGGCGTTGTCGTGCAACGAGCCCGGGCCCGACGCCGCGGCGGCCGCGACGGCCCGGCTGACGGCGCTGACGGGGCCCACCGGCGGGGGACTGATGTCGCCGATGTCACGCTCCAGCAGCTGCGTCAGTGTCGGGGAATTCGAATCTAAACGGACAAACAACATTTCAGGAACTTTACAAAAAAACTTACACATATTTCAAACCATCAATTTTCGAAAAAAGAAATTGTAGCCTAAAGAACGGCGACGTCTTTAGGCTTTGACTGCCGACAGCAAACTATTGAAGGCAAATCCTCCGCTACTGTCGGTCACCGGTGACCGAAGTGGCGCTTAACGTGATCTATTTCTGAATCCTTCAATTGTAATTCTCTCTGAGAAGAAAGATTGAAACTAAAGGTTTAGTTACTTAGTTAGCAGGCTAGTATCACCGCGGTAGAGTCTTCGTTGGCCAAGCCATAGCATTAACACTAGCCAATTTGACGACATGTTTTGTTTTTATAACGAAGGTATATTTTGTTCTGTATACATACATTTCTGTTGTTCGAGCGGGGAGTATGTCCCGTCGTGGTTCTCCTTGACGCGCAGCATGTTGACGCGCTCCCCGTCGCGGAACACCAGCACCGTCACCTTGCACCCACTGCCGCCCCACTCCACGTCCTCTCTGGACACGACACACCATCAATAATGTTAGTAAATAACCATTCGCAATGTTCCGTTTGGATATTCTCTTATTAGGGGATCAAATGAACACTAAATACTAGGATCAACTTATGATTAAGTATTTTGAAAGAGTTTAGGCTCACAACTGTTGCAATAATCGAATGATAAGATTTATTTGGATTCAATTCAATGAGTGAGTAAACTGTTGTTGGCCTTTCAAATTCAAACAACATAGATTGTACCCAGTGAAATGTGAGTGAGGGAATAATGTTAAGTTCATCGGTTTTTAAGTTCATCTGGCATTCCTCACCTATTAGTATCGAGCAGGCGTTCAATGTCCCTCCAGGGCTCCGTGTTTGGCGGCGGCGGCAGGCGGCGCGTGGAGATGGGCCCCCCGCGCATGCCCAGCACCAGCCGCAGCCGCGCTCCGTCGCCGATGGCATGCTCGCGGAGACACGACGAGTCCTCCAACTCTTTGAGATTGTATAACAAGTGCTGCTGGGACACCGGGATACCTGCAACATTGAAGTATTGTTTTTAGTACGCGATTTTTTAGGAAGTCGAGACACAAAATAGACACTACACTGAGTTATTGTATATTTAGAGGTGCTTCGTAATAGCAGAATTTCATTGAAAGGGCTATTTTTAATATTTCAGGGACACCTAGGACAAGGCCATATCTCTAGACTCTCGGTCCACGGCATAAAGAACAACTTAGCTAATAATCTCATTGATTCCTACTGGGATGACCAGAAGTAATAATCAAATACTGGCTTATAAGAAAAACTTCAAAGCCTGCGAATACAAAATAAGTTCTCCTTTTCAATTATGTATGAACTAGTAGACCTGTACTTTCATAATAGAAACAGTGTGTGGTTACGTCACTTGTAAAAATGACACTTGCGACATAATGGTGTCTCAACGAATTTGGCAATGAATTTATATAAGCATAACATCTGATAAGTGGCGGCCACTGCGTCCGTGAATCATGTGCTTGGAGGGCGGCCAAGCGAAAATAATCCTGTCACCAAGGAAGAATTCAATATTTACTTTCTTTGTGATACAACAATTACATCATGATACTTTTTTAGCATTTTCCTGTTGAAGGAGTTTCCATTGTATGTATGTGGACGACCTAACGACCTAAGTCACTTAGTAGGTAGTTATACGTATAAACAAGACTTTTTTTAAGTACTTTAGGGACCCTTAAATGCTGTAACTTTTGTTTATTATATTGTCTATCATTCAGCCAATATAAAATGCGTAGATTACATTAAAATCCTTAGATAAAAATAGTACAGCTATTTTCCATTTACATAAACAATCTGGGTACAGCTATGACTGACACAAAGTAGCAATCCAGATAGATATATCATTTGAAACGGCTGTCAAGTTAGGATTTGATATAAAACTGACTGATTACATAAAGGAAACGTTCTTAGAATAATTCTAGAATATAACTCATCCGCGACAACTGAACAATACATAGTGTGGTTTATAGCAGAACACAAATTAAGTGACGTGACGACTGAAGCCGTTACGTCACTAGGCTTAATACACGTGCCGTTACGTCTCGCATTCGTCACACAAGAAGAAAAGAAATGCGTGGAAATAATAACGGAGATCCTTCTAAGACTTCACGTTTAGCAACGGACTTTGATAAGAGACTAGGGTCAAATATAAGAGCACCAATAAACGAAGCTACAGATATTATGATGTTTCCTACTAATTACTTTGCTGATTGATGTTACGGCGTAAGTACGAGTTATAAATAACAACACACCTGTTATTTTTATACTTCCAACAGTACTTTTATACAGTTTTAAAACCAAATGTACAAACACACAAGTGGCTTATCGAACCAAATGTGGGCAGTGGCTAAAATCATTTTACAAAGCCTTTGTTTCAGGGTATAGGGCAACCAATAATCAATTTATTATTTTCAGATACTTGTATCAGTACAGGTGATCTCTCTCATACAAACAAATACATTCGAATCGGCAAACATTAAGCCGATTCCAAGCGATTTCAGATTGCGAGCAGCAATAAATCAATCGTAATATGAACGATATGAGTGCAGGCAGCGCACATAACACACCTCATGGCAATCGTTCTGGCACGACATCAAAGATCCCATCGTCATGTAAACCCCGTTGACCTGCGCACAACAACCGCCCGTGTGAACACACCTTTATACCTTAAAATAGTATTCAGCTGTCTGAGTAAACTTGCTGTGAAACAATCTGTCATTCTACCAAGGCCTTTTCAATGTTTTTACTAAAACACTAAATTGTTAGCATCCTCACAATAGAGAGATATATTTTTTATCATATCACATGTAATGAGAACAAGCGAATAAAAATCTATTTTTGAAAATACTTGACTCACAAGAACAGAGACCTAGAAAAACAGATTTTAAAGCTGTTACCTAGCTTTAATTTGTATTATTAGATTCGGTCATTGCTGTGGAGGAGTGGGAGGGAGCGATTGATTATAATTTAGATTGGCATTTAAGATGGTGAAAAATGTCCTCTATTTAATATGAAATCAGTATTAATTCAGTGACCTTGTCATGATTAATACATGGACAGAAGACTGTTTATAAAAGTTTTCGCTGAAATTGCTCAGTGTTAACCTTGACTCCAATTCCACAGTTAGTGGAATAAAATCAGGTGTAACATATTAAAGCACATTTTACTAAATTTTAATTACATTAATTAAAGGTGTTTGATTTCATTCTAAACACAAAAAGTGTATCCTAAATCTAATGTTATTTTATAAGTACCTATGTGATGAGATGTTTATCCTGTTGTAGAAATAATACCTTGCAATAGATAAATATGTTCCTAATTGTTTACCACTCTGCAATACAACAATAAGTTGTGTATCTTATTGATTAAGCCTAGGACTTAGAAACACTTTTCTACCGGCAGACAAGAGTTTAAAAGTATCAAAATATTAATAATCAGGTATGTATTATAACAATAATGTTTCTTTGTATTCTCCTAGTTGCCTGTACACCAGGTGGACACATATCAGTACAATACAATTGTTTTATACACATAAACATCAACTTCTATATTTGCTTTTAATTATTTTATTGTCTAGGCCTTTGTTCCATCTATCAACAATGTTTGACATGATTGCTTTCTTACTAAATTGTTTTTTTGATAATTCTTACTAATATGATAAATTCTAAAGTTTTTTTGTTTATCTTATATCACTTTGCAATTAGTCATTTTAAGTTCATAGGAAGCTGGACGCTAGTACAGGGTACTTTGTTTTTTTTTGCTTGCTGCTACTGAAGGTAAAGATAAGTTTTGTATTTACATTGCAAGTAAATTAGACATAAAATATAACAGTAAATGTCCTTCAAACGAAGCAGGAAGTAATGCATGGTGAGATAACAAAGGAATTTCATTGTAGTGACAAAAACAAAAGTTTTGTTTAACTTTTTTCCTACCAAGGTGAGATCTTTGTTCAGTTTTAAACATATCCAGTACAGAATTTTAAACAGATGTATAAAGGACATGCATCATTAATTCTTTGTAAGTACTTCCAGTGATATCCATTTGTGCTAACAAATATTTTCTTTCCTTTTTTAACCAATGCATTTCAGGTATTTAAGTTTGGTGCAATTTAAGCAAATTACAAAGTTCATATAGTAATATTGTTTTTGTTGATACCTTGGTTCACTTTGTGCGAAACGAATATTCCTCTTTCCTGATTATGTAACACAGAATAAAACTTGGGACAGAACATTATTTAAATGCTTTTGTAAATGATGTTATACATTCTTATCTATTTAAAGCATTCTACAAACATCAACCCACTATTTAAGGGAAGTGAGGGATAAGAAATAGACACAAGGTATTCCATGTCCATCTCCTTGTCCTAAGCTACTAATTTTCAACCAAATTGGTTCACCTAAATATTAATTATAATCACTTAACACAACTTTATTTCATACATTTAAGTACATAATGTGTTTTGTATGGATAAACTATGTTTACTTATTTTAAACAATAAATGAATAGGTATTGAAAACAGTAAAAATCTTAATGTTTTTATATCACATGGTATTGATTATGTAAGTTATATTTGTAAATAAACACATGCAGTTTCTAATAGATTTTATATTGGGTATAGAAAATCTTATCAACACTACATTGAATAAGATTCACCCAACAATTGGGTAAATGTATTTTCATTTGTTTTGAATATTGGCAAGTGATTCACAATTTGTAAAAACAAAACAGGTGTATGATTAATATGTAAGTAATATCAATGTTTTTAATATTTCAATTCTTGGAATCCACATGACAAATAATGAAAATGTCTGAATCAGAAATTAAAATAATAATACTATTAATTTTATTTCAACATACTTTATGCCCTATAGAGTAGGTTGACTAGTAAATGATATAGCTGTTGTCAAATATAATAAAGTACCATATGTACATTATTTTTAATTGTAATAATAACACCAAATCTCATATAGGTTTTTAGAAATATTAGTCATATTAAGTATGGTATTCAGTCTGCCTATGTAATAAAAAGTAAATATACATTATAGTCTGCCTATGTTGCATGAAGATTTATTTAAATAAATTATATGTTCACAGGTGAACTTTAAAAAAATTGTACTTAAATGAAAAATATTTAGTGTTACAATGAAAACATCCTTGAATGTAATACAAACAATAATATTCCATAGATGCCTTAACAAGAAGACTGAATCTATAAATAGTACAAAGTATATGTCCCACACAATACATACTGTTACATCTTGATTTAGTTATTGTCACTAAATATTGTGCAATAAATTTTTGTTTATTTACTGCTGCTAATAAATAGGAATATAATACATTCACATAAACCATATTACCTATATGGCTCCAACTACAAGAATAATATTAGTAGTACCTATAAAAAAATAAGAAGAAGCCATAATCTGTGGGGCCAATATAGCCTTAATGTCACTTTTTATGAATGATACTAACCTATCCTAACAAATTTATTTTTTGTTTTAGTTGGTACTGTGCCAGCCAGGACTACAGTAAGGAGATTTTAAATATTACAAATTCCAATCAGACTACATCCATATTAATTAGAAAGTATGGAAGAATACAGGTTTGTTTGACATTTATTGGCTAAATTGATGGCCAATTGAGTCCAAAAGGTCGCTCACATAGTACATATACACAAGTGTTGTGTATTCCCAAGCTATGTATAGTCAGTGACATATCTATAAGAAACATTGTTTACATTGACACTGGACATAGCTCTTACACAATACTTTAATTAAATTACTTACTTATACTTCTTCCAACCTTCTTGCTTGCAATGACTATTATGTATTGTCACTGTAAAGAGGTTTCACACTAGCCAGCATAGGTTATCAGTATAGCATCGTTTACGACGCACTAACTCCACAACATCCTTTGTCGAACGCGCATGACGCACGATCAAGCCTACTCTGTCGAATAACAAATAACTAGTTGTGTAATGCACGATATGCATGTCCACACTCACCTTCGACCCTGAATATCTTCGATTTAATGGCAAAAATGGTGTCCGTCGGCAGCACGGTCATTTCAAACGCGGTTCCCGTGAGGGTTTCCACAAGAACCTCCATCGTAGGCTGACTCGGTCCATCATCCTGGAAACCTTTGGATCTATTCGACAGTCTCTCTGGGCATCCATGTTGTGACATTTCACACGCGGTACTCAACAATTGACTATCTACACAACATCGCAATTCACAGAAATGTTTTCACAAAAGTTAAGTAAGACACGGAGCACTTGAGACAATTACACGATGACGGAGTAAAGTTAAATTCACTGCTATGGAAAAACATTGAACATGGTTGCAATAACTGAATGAATTACGCGAATTAAAGAAACAAAGAAATTTTTTACTAGTGTATTATTATTTAGCAACAAAAATAATATTACTGTGAAATAAATTCTCCGTGACAGACGATTATTTTTTTTCTGTTGATTGATGGTGAATGGATTGAATGAAGAATGAGTCATTTGACCATTCGGAACGTGGAACTTTACATTGTCGATGGATCCGCTGTTTTCTTCTTTTTTCTATCATATTTTCTTCATTGTGAACATGATCATAAATTCTAGATAAGTAGAAACATATGTTAATTTATTATATTTAAATTTTCCAATAATAATTGGAAGTTATTGTTGTTTACTTTAGTCTGTACAAAGCTTTGCAGCAGAGATTTTGATTTATATTAATAGAAATATTTTACAAAGTTATTTCTGTTGGCAACATTCGTTGAATGATAGGAAGTCGGTCAATGTCATCATTGACTGAGTCGATTGTCTATGATAAAAAGTTCTTTTCCATCGTTTTCTGTCCTGAGATTCGGAGGTTAGAAACATGGTGCGTAAACTTTATCAAATTAAAATAAACTTAATAGTGCAAATAGCTAATAATCAATCAAAACAAAAAGTCAAGTGTTATAAGTTAATTATTTTCAGTGCTATGTGTAAAGTTTAGGCTTCGCCTGAATCTGAAACACGCGTCACTTTGTCATATCGAGCATGTGGCCTCATGAAAGGATGATTTCTGTTTCCAGACTCGCAAACGCCGTAATGGAGGACGGGCTAAGCACGGCCGTGGCCACGTTAAGGCTGTCAGATGCACCAATTGCGCGCGTTGCGTGCCTAAGGACAAAGCTATCAAAAAGTTCGTGATCAGGAATATTGTTGAAGCGGCTGCCGTCAGGGATATCAACGAAGCTTCCGTATATGCATGTAAGTTTGATTACCATATTTGTACGCCAATCAATAGCCGATAACCTATCACCGATTTATAAATTCAAATCTTAACCAAGTATATTGTCGACCTCTCGCGCCCGGCCTTAATCGAGGCCATGGTGCAGCGTGAGAGGAACTGGGAAGCTATCTCCTCCTTCTGCGAAGCAGTAATGCTCGCAAAGGAGGAGGCGGAGCGCGTGAGGGAACTATCCTCCTCGCGCCCCAGCCGCCGCAGAAGGCGACATTCCGGACGTCGGGGATCGAGGGATGATCTCCGGCCACCGTAAGCGCGGGTCTGCGGACGGCGAGTAAGGGTAGCTCGCCGCCCGACCAGAACTGGACCCGAGCGTACGGCGCGTAGCGTTCCGCGCGCGCCTCAAAGAGCCAATAGACCACCACAGTCGGGGCCCTAAAGGGCTGATGTTTAGCCGGGGCTGCGGGGTAAGCGCAATGAGGCACCGCGACCTCGGCCCAGAGCAGGAGAAGGAACGGGGGGGTTTTTAGTCAGTAAGAGTCTGACACTCTCTCTCGCCTTACCCTGGGCGGGAGAAGTCATTGGATGATTTTCCCCTGACAAAAAAAAAAAAAAAACCAAGTATATTGTAGGTGCACCTCTACAGTGCAACCTGTCTAGGTCACCGGTTGTTTATGGTTACGTCTTCCAGTGATATACATACTGCTGAAATTATACTCCAAAGAAATTGTGATAATAACCAATTTATCCATCCATCATAACAAGTTCATAATACCATGTGTTGTTTCTAACATTGTTCAGATAAAGTAAACTAACCATCCTCTATAATACCAATGTAAAGTTAGTGGTTATTCTTATTTAATTTATCATCCTATCAGCCGAAGTGCCCGAAGTGAAAGCGAACTGGATCCAACTGCTTGATTATTTATAATCTACGAAAAAAATGTGTTAGTAAATTAAAACAAGTTAAAATCAATTTCATTTTATGTAATAAATGTTATTTATTTCCACAGCATTCCAGCTGCCAAAGCTGTATGCCAAGCTCCACTACTGTGTCTCCTGCGCCATCCACAGCAAAGTTGTGCGCAACAGGTCTAAGAAGGACAGGAGAATCCGTACTCCACCCAAGAGCACCTTCCCCAGGGACATGCAGCGCCCACAGAATGTGCAAAGGAAGTGAAGTGATTAACAATAAATTTTAAGAAAACCCAATTTGATTGTTTCATTTCTAGTGACACATTTTGTATGGCATATATGAAATAAAGCATTTACTGTATAACAGTTTACTGGTTACAACAGATAGGTTTTACCATTAACTCAGTTTAAAAAATCCAGTTACACTTTAATATTGTAGGAATCAAAGCTCTTAACTTGTCAGTCAGTACTTGGTTGCAGCAACTTTTCAGTCTGAGATTATTGCAACAATGTCTGAAAACTATCTACCTGTAATATAATAAATATGCACCATTACACAATACTGAGACAATAAGGTAGAAAAAGTTAATGTTCGATAGCTGCCAAATCAATCTGCAAAGAAAACTTGCAGAGGTTGGTAGGCAGAAACTACAGCAATCTCATTGATGGACTGTTCATATAAGCACATTAGTTCACAGCGCCGTAAGATAGGGACACAACAATCTTACGGTGCTCTGAACTAGGTACTACTAACTACTCATGAATGTATGTGTATGATCCATGAATAGTGTAGATAATTATTGCCTAACACGGCAAAACGAATTGGCAGCGGCGACCTCTCGCCGTTTGTACATACCGAGAGGAGCTAGGAAGCTGTCTTCTCTATGGAGCAGTTATGCTCGCGGAGGTGGAGCGCGTGAGAGAGCTATCCTCCTCACGGCTCAGCCACCGTAAGTGCCGGTCTGCGGACGGCGAGGAAGGGTAGCTCGCCGCCCAACCAGAACCCACCAGTCTACCCTACCTACCCTATAGGGCTGGTGTTCAGCCGAGGTTGCGGGGTAAGCGCAATGAGGCATCGCGGCCTCGGACTCAAGCAGGAGAGAAGAGACGGTGGGGTTTTAGTCAATAAGAGTCTGGCACTCCCTCTCGCAACACCCTGGACGAGAGAAGTCATTTGATAATTTAATCCTACCAAAAAAAAAGCCAAGCGAGGATCCAAAACAAAAAAGCATGACCAAGGCATGGCTAACAGAGATTTAACCCATCCCTGGTCTCGCCACTGGGTCCATAGCGTGGGAAGAGGCATGCTTAGGGGCGACCGGAGTGCATCGACTTCACAGAAAACCGGCGTGAAATAACTAGAGCGTTGTCTTTCACCGTATGGGGAGTTTACCGGAAGCCCAATCCTTCCCCTCCCCAAATCCCCAAAAGGTCGGCAACTCCTCCGTTGTTGCGGTTGTTCATGGGCGGTGCTGATTGCTAACCACCAGGTAACCCGTCTGTCCGTTTGCCGTACTATAACATAAAAAAAATGACAGACAATATACCCCACGCACTCAGCTACAACTTAAAAGACAAAGTGATGTCCACGCTACAAGTGGAGTGATTTAGAAGAATCAAGCTTGTCTTCTACTATGTATTTGCTCGTCAAATGTTGTTCAATAACCTAGAGACGTTGCAGCCTCCATTCGGAATAGATATCGGTTACTTATGACGCGGGGAGACTGGATGCGAGTCGGCGGCGTGCCATCGGCGACTGACGATGTGGACGTCTTCAGGCTGATGATGATTTGGTATATTTAAACCATACATATCCTGTTCTGGGCGAGCCATGCTTCGTCACAAATGGGTCAGCTCGACCGGAGTGATACCACGATCTCACAAAATACCGACGTGAAACAACAACAGCGTTGTGTTACGCCGTGTGAGTGAGGATTCCGGAGGCCTAATCCTTAAATCTCCTAATCCCTAATCCGGCGTCGGTCGGCGATGCACTTGTAATTCTGTTGTTGCGGGTGTCCATGGGCGGCGCTGATTGCTTACCATCAGGTTATCCGTTTGCTGGTTTGCCGCTCATATAAAAAGTAATTTTTTACTACCTACATCATGGTAAGTACCTAGTAGAAATCAAATTGGTTCAATACTTTTCTGGTACTTAGTGCGAATTATTCATTGAATATTTATTAAATATCATGTTGGTACTATTAGTCAATAAAGCAAAGAAAATCGTCAAATCCATGAAAAAAGGAAGTAACAAGTAACAGCATAAATATGTTGATGCACTTCATGTCTAGGGTAATTTTGTGTGCCACACTGCGGCAAAAAGGGAAACATGATTTTGTAAAGCACATATTATTATTGAAGATTAGGTGAAGAAATCAGAATACTTGATTTCCCTACCATACTACCATAAAAGAAACATGGTCGGAAATAAAACACAACATTAAAATAATATACCATCCTATACTGTCATTGATAATAAAAACACTTAAAAATGAAACTTAATGAATAGAAATAAAACTTAAATTAGGTTTCGTAATCATCATCTTCACGCTTTCGTTTTTGTGCCCCTTCATCTAACTCCATCTTGACAGATGTGTGTGCTGATGGACCAGCTGTAACTCTCACTGCAGGCTTTGCTACAACCTGGAAAACAAAAGACATGGATCAAATCAATGTTATAATTATTTTAATAGACTAATGGCTGATTTTTCAAGTCAGATAAATGTTATTTAAGGTACAAAATTGTTGCTATCGCAGTCTTATACAAACATTCTGACATAATAGCATATTTTATCAAACAGCCCTAGATTAAATAAGTTGAAAAACTAGTGTTGGCATAAAGCGTTACAGTGCCAGTGTAAGACAAATCCCTTAAACCAATTAAATTAATAAAAATTCCATTTCCAAACAACAAAACTATTTTAAACATGATTAATCATGGTAACAAAACTATAATTATTAGAGAAAAGCTCAACTAGTTATAAGTTTATTTTAAAAATAAGTAAGGTATAGTATTTTAATTTCAATGGTGTGCAACTAAAGGTATGTTTAGCCATCCATAGTTTGAGTAGTTGAATATTGCCTGAAAACTATCTTACCTTAGTACCAGATGTGAATTTAAGAACAGGTTTAGGAACTACAGTAGGTTTTGGAGCTGCTACATTGACAATAGCGCCCGGAGGTCTCTTCACCACCACATTCTGGGTAGGTGGAGGTTTAGATGTGGTGACTGTCTTCAATGAAGGTACAGCTGAGATGGTAGGCTTGGGTGCTGCTTTCTTGACAGCTGGCTTCAGACGATAGTTGCAGGCAGACAGGCAGTAACTGTAATATGATAATTAATTTAATTAAGTTAAATTGTCATGAGTATATTGTTAAAAGTGCATCTTTACAATAACAGTAGTAAGACATAGGTCAACTATTTTAATTAAAAAATCTAAAAGTTCATTTGACAGGCTATAGATTATTTGGCTCAATTTTGAATATTTTTTATTATGGTTTATTTTGTAAGTAGGCCAATAGTACGGTGTCTAACGATCATTATGGGACAAGGGCATAATTTTACTTATATGTGATATCAATAGATAATCAGGCGATTGTGTAAAGTTATTAGAGTGTAACTTACCGATCTGGTGGCAACCGCAGACCACAGTGTGGCTTGATCATTGGCAGAGGATTAACATTCTTCACTCTCGATATCTCCAGCAACACCTCTCTTGGAGGGGGACTCGTAAACGACTTATCCAACTGCATCTGCACTGCCAGTCGAACATCATCCAGGTCTATAGTTTTCTTCTTGGCGTGGGTAGCAAATACCCGTGCATCATCCAATACCGATGTTACGTACCGATAAGTGAACTCTAAGAGTTGGTTCACGACTCTGGGCTCATAGTCCGTGATGCCGACCTCCTTCATTATCGACATAATAACTTGAGCATCTTTAGGAATGTGTTTAGCTTGGACATTCACTTTAGATTTTTCTTTTTCGGACATTTTTAAATCCTTTGCTAGACTATACAACAATAAGTTTAATTGAGAATCACTTTAAATAAATATTCGTTATTTATTTCTACTATCATAATATTTTATGCTCTTTTATTTACGTTTATTCTAACCGCGCACACAGAGCGACCTCCAGATTGCAGTTTTGTTTGACAACTGACTCGTCGACATTTTGTTTTGCTTCGCATGACATGTGTCAAATTAAAATTGACGTCAGTTGGATCGTTCAGAAACTGAAATTTATTTTTCATTTAACAACATGCCATCCCTTTTTTCGGGTACGCTGTTATAGCAGCCATAAGACCCCTCTTTAAGTAGCTTGAGAGGCACCATGGCAGGTGCTTACCGGGCACGGCAGCTTCGGAAGGTTCCTATTTCAGATCCGACGAGATGAAACGCCCGAGTGTCGTCATTGTGAGGATCCGGTGGAACATACGGTGGCGGTATACCTTGCGTGGGCCGAGCACCGCCTTGTCCTGAGGACAGAAATGATCAGTAGCGGCGACCGCATATTGTAGGGCCCTAAAAGAGCTCTTGTAAGCGACCCTACGGCGGGCTCTACCAATTCATGACCACATGCGGCGCTTTGATATGGAACACTGATCTGACGGCAACCAGAATTACTATTTTACCAAAACGACAAAGGATCATCCTGTGTCGTTTTGGAAAGGATGATGGCCATTACATGTTTGCCATATATTATGAGAGACGGCATGTGTACTACCTTAAGGAGAATCAAGGATCTACCCTGCACTAGAGAGAAGACAATCCTTTACTTTATCAATGGGCGAAGATCGGAAAAGGTGTCTCTAAATGGAGCAACCGCAAATGGGTTTGTACTCGACTGACATCAAGGTCAACTAAACTAGGCCTTGGTGGTGAAATGTTGGGATAGACTTTAACGCCCTACTGTTGGCAAAGCACTATTGAAGTATTAATGACAGTGCTTGATGTATGGCGCATGGGATGGCATGGCCCCTTGTAGTACAATGACAGGTGGGTTCGGGCATGGGCACTTTGGGATGTTCCCGTCTTGCGTTTCATACGTTTGCCGAAGCCGTAGTGTTGCGATTATCCACGACAGATACTGATTGCTCACCATGAGATGAGCCTTTTTCTCTTTTACCTTAATGCCATAAAAATAAAATAAATCAAACACACTGTTTATAATAACCATTTCGATTTTATTCAGTTAAAATATGAAATAACTTACGTGTACAGTAAAAATAAGTTGTTTTTAGATAGTCATTGAAGTGTTTAACTCAAGTATGTATATCGCTAGAAGCCGCGCGGCTCGCGTCTCGTCGTGGTGACTACCTTAACACCTTGTTTACCAAGTGTACTAAAATACATTCTAATGATTATATTATTGTAATCTGTAATAGGTACATTAACATATAAATGGACAATTTGGACGTACAGTTGTGGTATTATTTACTATAGTGATAAACAGAATGATCTAAGGTTACATAGCATGTTTCCTTCACTTTCGTTCCATAGATATTAAGTGTTAATATTTACAGACTTTACACTACTTTACCTAAAATATTTAATATTATTGTATACTCTCGCAAATTTATTATTACTCCTTTATTTTACTTTGTTTCTTTCTTTTTTTTTTGTTTGATCTTAAACTTTTTTGCCATTTGGTATACCTTAACTTTTGTCTAGCCTTCGCGAGGAAGTCAAACTTTGATGTATTTTTACATACTCCCATTATCGACTAGCAAATAAGTTGATATTGACAATAATTATACTTAAGTATATTGTATGGAAGTAACACATACAACGAGGGTGGCAAAATTGACAATAGCGACGAAAAATATATTTTTATTTAGTTTTTATTATCCATGAATCCTTATAACGTTATGGAACAAAAGTCAAGCAACATTTGAAACGAACGAGCGATCAATGCATCATTCATGTTAATGTCAAAAACAAAATCTGTTGTCCGTGATATGTTTTAAGGCGAACTAATCAAACAATGAACAGTGACGTTTGACCGCTCACGAACGCGAATAGAAAACGATGTATTATTGCTTTCGTACTATCAATTTTAACGATTATACAAAATGATGCGCGCATCGCAAACATGTTACCGTCCTGTACTCTATAGCTAATAAATTGTGCTATTTGCTGGAACCATCCGTTAGACTATCATCATTCTTTATTATCCTTATTTATAATTATATCACCTAGTGAGGTTTCAAACAATAACCTACGACTCCCTCACACGTTAAGCCTTTCATGAAGAGCATCGCAACAAATGCCTGTCCTACTGAATCCCTATATGTTATAATATGAGAGGTCTGAACTCTTCACCGTTAAACCCTAACGAGACTTAAATGTTTCTACAAAGCGAACGTTTCGAGGCAAGTATCACTTATGTTAACTATTTCCCGCGAATTGGGAGTAACAACCTCAATACACGGCGGCGCGTGCGCAGCCGGCCGTGTACTAGTATATGGTCAATAACTATTTCTATGAGAACTCGCTGTCTATTACGTATCTCGGTTTCAGTTCTCTCCAGCAACGTGTGAGGTGACCTATATGAGACTAATTAGGTAGAAATGTACTTAATCATCTACTCTCGTACACTCAATACAATATTATCAACAACGTAACTAGGATCTACTTACGAAAAAATCTATGAACATCACAAAATCCCGAGTAACTATCAGACGATTTGTATGGCTAAGAAACAAATTATACAATACACGATCATGAATCACTCACTATTTGTTTCACAATTGCAAATTCTTACAAAGTCACCGGCACCCGGGCAAGGAGTACCTATCTATGGCAATAACAATGTCAATGGCACTGTACTTATAATTCGTTTAGAAATTCTTCGATTATTGGCAAATTGGGATACGAAAAGAAATTTGCAATAGTGATCATTTAATTATAATATTAAAATATCATAAAAATTAATAATTGCACAATTAAATTGAACATAATATATTACAATAAAATAGTATAAGCTCAACTCTTTATCATTAATAATTATGATTAAGTCGTACAGATTACATTAAAACATAGAACAGAAATTCATAGATAAAATATTGCATCTTCAAAGAGGGAATCACTTAAGTAATTTATCGATTAATGTATTTTATTACAAAAATATTCAAACATATCAAAGTCAGTCCATACGCAGAAAATCACCAACTTTTTGTATTTGCAATTCGCAAAAGGCACTCCTTGATGCAAACGAACTGTCCAAAGTCGTGAGACACGGATGTGGCGTGTAGGAACCGAGCATTCAAACCGTTGAGCTTACCTTAGAAGCGTCCCATATTGGTAAATTATAATTACAGCTTACCACTATTTATATCATAAGAAACAGGAAGAAACTACAAATAGACAAGTCCATAACGGGTTTTAAAATAATACAAACAAACCGGTACATAATAGAGTACAAATTACTTCAGCTACGCTACGGGTATGTGTAATGTCGCGACGATTGACGAACACTTGCCGTATAGTTAGCACTGTGTCAACTGTATCATTCCGTCGAGTATTGCACGTAACATCCACGGTCAGTATATACATGAGTTATACAGCGGCTAGCGGACAGTCGCAGCCTGAGCCCGGCCGCATACCGCGGAACACAATGCGGCCAACTCTACAATGGCGGGCTTGATGGGGCCGGCCTGGCACTGTGCTCCCCGATTATATCTCGGCGCTCAGCTCCGCTGGAGCCTGGAAGCATGATAAATTGTATAAAATATAATAATATCTTACATAAAAACATTGTAAGAGGTAGCTAGATTAATTTGTTTTGTGACTTCTCTCTGATTCTTCAAGAAAAGGATTATACAATACAAGGGTAAAAGGGGCATATCGACTTTTGAAATGAGAACAATTTGTAAAATAACTTTTTTTTCAACACGTCTAAGGTTCGCGAAATATCTCTACCTCTATAATCTATTTTATTAGTTTATAAAGAAGGAGCCACCTTCTTTAAGTTGATGTGCAATATTATTACCAGGTACTTTGCCTACTAAGGAAGTCTTCGTTCACCAGTGGAAACATTGTTACTACCAGAATTTTAATTCGATTCCAGATAGTGATGAACACAAAAACCGAGAAACAATCAGTGAAACAGTGTGAGGAAGGCATTCAAAAAATTACGGCTTCCGAATGGTCTAAATGTGTATCCCATGTTGTCAAAGAAGAGGAAGAAATGAGTAAGCTAGATATGTCAATTGACAATAAATATCACAGACATAATTCCTAATAAATGTTCCTTCATGATCACATTTTTTTATTATTTTCACACACAATTATAAAAGAAAAGTTTCAGATCGTTAATTAATTGTCAAAATTAATTAATTGGCAAATCGGTCCAGAAATATTTGATTTCCTGATAAACTTAGTTTACGAGAGTAAATTTATAAACGAGAGGAATCGATTCGGAAATATTCCATTTCCATATCGAATATTTTCGCAACGTCACTGTTTAGTACCTGTCGTAACGTTGCAACACTGAAATTGTGAAATCTGGAATCCAATAAAAATTCGGAGTATAGGCATGTTATAATATAAAAGCGAAGTGCAGTACCTATGTGGTGAGGGCGGGCTGCGCATGGTCGGGCGGGGGCTGGTGTGTGGCGGGCGGGGGGGGCGCGGAGTACTCGACCACCTCCTGGTAGATGAGCTGCTTCCACTGCTCCACCGTGTGCTCGCGCTCGTCCACCGAGTGGTCGTACGACGCCGGCGCCGGCTGCAACGTACCGTACTACTGCTTCACGCGGGCTCAGCGACATGCATGGGTCAACTCGACCGGCGTGATACCACGGCATCACAGAAAACCGGCGTGAAACAACCACAGTTTCGCCGTATAAGTGAGGTTACCGGAATCCCAATCCCCAAATTTCCAATTTCTAATCCCCAAAAGGTCAGCAATGCAGGCGTTACTCCTCTGTTATTGCGGGTGTTCATGGACAGTGCTGAATGCTTAGCGTCAGGTAATCCGAATGCTCGTTTCCTATCACATAAAAAAGGAGTCGCAGGAAGTATAACGCTTATTGTTACGTCAGTTGTTAGTAACGTCACTACAATCGAGCCGGCCCATTAGTACCGAAGCAAGGCTCCTCTCTAATACTTTGAGTATGGGAGAGCCAAGCTTCGGCACGAATGGGTCGGCTCGACCGGAGTGATACCACGGCCTCACAGAATACTGGCGTGAAACAACCCACAGCGTTGTGTTTTGAGTAATTAAAATAAGTTAAATAAACAGTGACTCACCGCATTAACCTCTCCCTCGTCGTACCAGACATTGATGTAAGGATGCAGCAACGCCTCGTCGACAGAGATGCGACGCTCGGGGTCAATGACCAGCATACGTGAGAGCAGGTCCCGCGCCTGCGACGCCTGCGCAACCAAAGGGAAGACTTCGACTAGCAATTTGTTGCAAATACAACAACATACATAAAGGAGTTCTATTTGCAGAGAAATGTAATAAAACTGATTCTAGTAAGCATGTTATGTTATACCACTGAGATTAGTTAGCCACAACACACTTCCTCATATAGTGGCTCTGATTCCACGGCAATACGGTTGTTTCCAACTAGTCAAATTCAATACTTTTATCCAAATGTCAAAAACGATACTTTTCTATGAAAATTGTATGAAACATTGAATTATGACGTCATAGCATTTTTGCGTCAAATAGCTTACTTATTTTTAAAAAAATAGCTAAAAAATATCTAAAACTTAGTGTATCGATCGATCGATGAATAAAAGTATAGTTATTTTTCAATATTTTATCGTATTAAAACGTCGAATTAATTTATTTTTGACCTAGGAAACTACCCAAATAGGCACGTAATGACACATATAATCAAACTGTAACTTTTTCATTATTATTATTCACAAGTGAGTAATAGTTTCTTTTATATTTTTTTAGTTGAGTTTGGCAAGTGAAAGTCACTTGCGCTAAAATGGTATCTGTGAGAAACAAAAAAAAGAAACCCCATTTTTAGTCTATGGCCGATGTGCACGCATAGAAATACTGATTAATTTTTCCCGCCATTACGAAACATTTTCCACAACGCATCCCGTCCTCTCTTTTAATTTTTTTTATTTAAGTATTTGTATATAAGAAGTTTTTTTGTTTGTATTTGTATATACATTTTTTTTTATTTAAGAAGTGTGTTGAAAAATGTCGTGTAACACACGTATGTATTTGATATGTATTTGATATTGATGATTACGCATTTTCTGATAAGTAATCACCAACATCTCACATTCGTACCATAATGTACTATGATTTTTCAATTGTCAGTTATGAAAGTACGCAGTGTAAGAGAGAAACGGAGGAAAGAGTTACCTTGAGGCGGTTGTGCTCGTTGCTGTCGCTGGGGAAGAGTATGTCTGGGAAGAGTCGCTCGAAGCTGTAGCCGGTGTAGCGCGGCCGGTTCTCCACGTAGTTGCGCACCGTCGGCTGCAGCCGCGCCATGAACGCCGCCGACGGAGTGCCCAGTTGCTCTGCCCGACACACACATATTACAGGGATGGTAATGAAATATAATAGTTGTAATTAACCCGTATCATGAACCACCACGAATTTTGTAACAAAATTCAACATAAATTTTTTTTGGCAATGGCAACTTTGTATGTTACTTTGGGATGACTCCAACGTTTAACACATTCAGCGCCACCGACTCAACCAGAGAGTCCACGAAAATTTTATTCCAGCGCCATAGACTCGCCTGACGAGTTCAACGTAAAATGTACGAGAAATTGGCGGCATCCGAGAAAGTCCGAGATAACATTGTGAAAATCGTTGTAGCAATGAAAGTGTTAATCGCCAGCCTTCGTGTATGTCATTTTAGAATGATCAACAAAGTAAAGCATATACCACGTAAAATGAACCTTTTCTTCATTATTTGAACTCAATTAAATATCAAAGAGTAAAATATAAAAACAATGAGATGATGAATGAGATATCTGCAGTGACTCACCGATGATCTTGTTCCACTGGTCGATGTGGTCAGTGCCGGGGAAGAGTACGCCGCCGCGGATCATCTCGCCCATAATGCAGCCCACCGACCAGATGTCGACATTCTCCGTGTATCCCATGCCCAGGATCACCTGCAACCAGAACAAGTCAAGTATAATACCCCTAAGTTTCTTTAAATAAAATTGGGCTCGCGTATAGTGTTGCTATGTTTCGTTGTTTGGGGTTAATTTGTGCTCAAAATGTGTGTAACTCTTTTGTACCCGAGCGTACGGCACGTAGCGTTCCGCGTGTGTCTCAATGAGCCAACAGACCACCTCAGACGGGGCCCTATAAGGCTGATGTTCAGCCGGGGTGGCGGGGTAAGCGCAATGATGCACAGCGGCCTCGGCCCAGAGCAGGAGAAGGAACGAGGAGCTTTTAAGTCAGTAAGAGTCTGACACTCCCTCCCGCCCCACCCTGGACGGGAGAAGTTATTTGATGATTTTCCCCTCACCAAAAAACCACTCATTTGTAGACAAGGACAACTTTTTGGGGAACCTCTCTTATGCAGAGGATCTTATAATCAAGCAGTAGTGTAGGGTCTACAATAAGGTGGGCAGGTACCTCTGGCGCGCGGTAGTATCTGGTGACGACGTAGGGGGTCATCATGAAGGTGGTGCCGGCCGTGCGAGCTAGGCCGAAGTCCAAGATCTTCAGCGTGCAGTCACTCTTCACTACTATGTTGGACGGCTTTAGATCCTGCAATACAGAACGAAACGAAATGAACTATAACGTCCAATTTTCACCAAATATTGTTGAGTTCCGTTTATCTAAAATGGGGCGGAAATACCTAAGATGTGGATGTAAGAAAATAGCAGATTTAAAAGTGGGATATTTCATTAATTTTGCGTGACCATAAAACGAGAGACTGTTCTTCAGTCTCTCGTTACGTACGAACCACATTTGTTTTAGGTTCGATTCCCAAATCAGGCAAAGATTTCATTCCGCTAACTTTTATTAATAAAGACTCACCCGATGTATAATTCCAGCAAGATGCAAATGCTTAATACCGCACAGCATCTGGTAGAGGAGATAGCTCATCCTCTCGTGGTCGAGGTCCATCTGTATCACCTGGCAGAGGTTGGCGTCCATCAGTTCCATCACCAGGTAAACGTCCTGGAACTCCTCCAGGCTCTTTTGTGGCGTGAACGCATTTAGAAGACCGATTATCTGCAAATTTTTAAGTTAGAAGAATGATTAAGAGCAGTGAAGAAAAAAATGAAAGAATGAGGATTAAGTAATATGCAATTTTTATATGCAGTACAATGTAATGTACAATAACAATGTGTTCAATGTAAAAATAAGTTTTTGTTTATTACTTAAATAAGCTTTAATTTTAATTTTGAACGCGACAGAAAATGGTTCACGTTATCCCTAAAAAATATTCGTTAAAAAACATGTAGGTTTTTAAAATTTGTTTCCAGGAATCCGTTTTTTTACTCCGCTGTCACTTGTCATTATTGACATAGAACTAACTGCAATTTGAACGACGATTTATGTGTTGAATAGTAAACTTTTATTTTAAGTTTTCTGCTGATTGCTATGGTTATAGCTTCTACTAAGAAAACTTCAGAAGAATAGGACATACAAAAAAGAAGAATATTATCTGTTGAAGCCAAGATAGGAATACAAATATATCTATTCGAAACCTGAAAGAGAAAAAGGACAAAATGCTGCAGTCTTCTTGTATTCCACTTACATTTTTATGATTGACGAGTTTCATAAGTTTGAATTCGCGGTACGCCCGCTTCGCGTGTGTCACGTTTTGAAATGGCCGAGATAGCTTCTTGATGGCGACATTCTGTTGCGTCACCGTGTCATATGCGGCGCTGGAACCAAACAATATAACAATTCCATAAAGCGAGTAGGCAATGGATGCGAGGTAAAGATAATGTCGTCTTTTGTTTTATGGAAACCAAGTAGAAGCGAGTATTTGAACAGCCCATGATGCATGAAGCCAGGCAAGTAACTGGTTACTTTAGTTATTGTTCGTTAGTTCTATCCGCCTTGTTAGTCTTGCAGTTAGACACAATGTATCAACTGATATTTAAATGGATAAACACAGAGTTAATATTAGTATCCAATACGCAATGTTAATACTTGTTAATTCAGTCAATTTCCAAATAAAATCTTTTCGGGGTCAAATTGGAATTTTATTTGCCATAATGAAGCGATGAACCCGTCCCGTGAAACGACGAAAAACACAAAACCAAACCACCAAAATGATCAAAATATACAAATGAATCCGTGAAAATGAATAATTCATGTAAATCACATTTACTATTCGGGGTTTATCGAGGGAAATTATTCAAATACCTCCTTTAATTTGTAATGATTAGAATTTTTTGAATAGTGGCTCTTGACAAGTGAAACGTTCTTTACAACCTAGACAAACTAGACATTAATATCTATCTGAATGCTAAAATCGGTGACCCAGAACCTTATACTTTATTTCACGTTCTGAAATTTCCATAAAGTGAAAAGTATAGACGGTGGTTTATGACAGACACGCCACATACAACGAAACAAAGATCGTGGCAATTTCGGATGTTGGTGGTGATAATCTAAATTTTGAAAGAACACGAGTCTCAGCCAGGTACAGCACAATACACAGCTGGAATCGTCACGTCAATATTAGTATTAATCCTAAAACCAAAGCAGACGAAAACATTGAAAGCGGCGGCCATGTTTGAAAGATGGCGCCCAGTCTTACCACACCATCCCTTGCGCGCCCGCGCCGCGGCTCACTAGCTCAGTGTACCGGGTCGGTATCGTGAACACACTGTCACCGAGTGTGACTGAGTAAAACTGAACCATCTCTAACGGCTAACGTACACTACTGGATCAGCTATAAAAGAAACATATTAAATTGGTGACTGTGGGCGTAGCCAGGTTGAGAGCAGCAGAAATTACACCTTTGATACGATTTCATATTGCTAAGCTTAATAGAGAGATACTTAAAGCTGTGGAAGAAAATGACAAAGATCTCTGGCTATGCCCACATCGATAAGCCACTACTGTGCATATTCTATTTTATTCATAGTGTGGTGTGCAACGCATGCGTGTGCGTGCGAATACGGATGCAGTAGACGTGTATGTACACGTGTCGCGCGGTTGTGTTAGTTAGACGCTTAGAACACATATGTATATGTTCGAATCTTTTTGTGTTAATAAAATTAGTGTGTACCTAACTCTATGATAAATTTATAAATAATTTTAATGCAATAAGAAAACCAGTATCTATTGTGTAAAGCCAATTTTTTTTTTCAATTTCATATTTGCCCGCAAAATAAGGAAATGATAATGCGGTATACTGAATGCATAATATTCGCATGCTCATGATTTGTAGAACAAAGCGAAGGAGAAATCCCGTATTCGAATAGATAATATACAATGATATGAAGCCAGAGAATTTCATACAAATGTATAATTAATTAGCAATAATTGAGAGTGAGCAAACATCGTATTATATTCTGTAAGTGCGAAAGGAGCAGAGTTAATGAAATAATTATCCCGTGAAGTTGTCAGTTCACGAGTATGACTGATGTTTAGCCCTTTAATTAGAAAACTTAGAACTCTCGAGCTCGGTGCGTCCTGGTGAAATTTTCTCGACTTTCCCAACTTTTGTACGACTGCCAATCTTGCCAAGATTTCTTGAGGAATAAACTTGACATTCGAATGGACAGTAATCCGTATAATTTAGTAGAATACTTAGACCTGTACTGAGTATGTGTGACATAGCTATCAGCTGTAAATTATTTTAATGTTTGTGTAGGTTGGTAAATCTTAAACAAACTAAGTATAGTGATACCTTTATTACCGCTGTTCTTTATTAAAATTAACCTCATAAAAATATTATTAAATAATTTCTTTGATATTAACACGTTAAGCGCCATGGGGGTCACCGGTGACCTCCGTTAGTGGAGGATTTGCCTTCAACAGTTTTCCGTCGGCAGTGTGATATTAACCACATAACCCTTTATGGCGGGCAGAAGGCACTCGCTCTATTGTAAATACCTACATAACATTTACCCGAACCTGGTTAACACTAAGCGCTGATCCCGACCAAGTTGATACAAGAAGTGAAGAAAAAGGTTGCTGTAAAATCTAAAAGAGATAGACTTATATGAGGTGTATTGCGTGTAAAAGGGACTTACCATACTATTCCCTGTGCTCCGGATCCGATGGGCTTCAAGTTCTGGTAACGCTTGAGTATGGTGAAGCGTGTGTCGCCGACCTCAACGGTGTAGAAGTGTGGGTGGCGCGGCGGGGCCGACATGGCGGAGGCAGGTAGCGCCGCGTGGGGCATGGACCACCCCTACCTGGAGACAACACGTACTTCTTATTCCATAACTGTTTTGCATTGCAAATGAGATTAACTGAACTTGACGTTGAGACGTTAACGAGAATTCAAGTACCTAAATGCTATAAAATACTAACCGAACGGAATAGAAAAGATGAAGAGGAATAAAACCAACACCTTGCCCGATCCAGAAATCTCTCACCTGTAATTTGCCTTTGCAAACTATCATCACATCACGTCATCAGCATATAAGTGCCCGTTGTTGAGTAAAGGCCTCTTCTCACACGAAGAAGTCTTGAGCATTTATCACCACGCTTGCTCAAGGTGATTTGGTGATTTCAAATTTAAAATTAGAAATTATAAGTCCAGGTTTCCTCACGATGTTTTCCTTCACTGTACGTCAGTGGTGTCTAAATAATCATAGAAAGTGCATAGAACTCGGGAGAACATTGGTACTTGCCGGGTTTCGAACCCGCATTCTCCACAACATGTACAACTAATGATATTTCACTTTAAAAAATGGCATAACACCTACAATTTCCTTTTGATGTGCTAAGGGCAAACCAAGACTGTGAAAGTCTACCCATCGTTACTTCTTCTTTGCGCTACTTTTATGTTGAACAGTGAAAATGCGAATGCTGTGTAATTACGCGTAAATAATTTATGGCTGTACCCAAAGCTGCATGTCATACCCTTTTCAACGCGCACGGGGCAGCGAATTCTTTAATTCTTTTAGGCTTACACTTCTAGGGACCGGCTTTAAAGCATAAATATGTTTTGAGAACAGGAGGGTGGAACAAATTGATAAAGGGATCGATTGGCAATACAGTCCCCTTACAAAGATACAGTGGATCGTATGAAACGTTACCAATATGGGGATATTAATAATTGATTTTTGTAGTGACAACTGACACGCTTGCATAGTGCACATCAAAGGCTCGCTTGCTTATTAAAGTTTTAACACCCCGTACCCAAGAGTATTAAAACTGGCAGGGTGTTTCAAGTGCTTCGTGGGGCTAATATTGAGTCGACGCTTTGTTTATAAGTGGGATATGTTCTTAAGGAGGTTCAAACGAAAATATGAAGGGAGGACTTTATTAGAACTCTAGTCATAAGAGCCATTTGCAACTTATTACTAGATTTGGTCGCGGTGTCTCGTAGGTCGGCATCTCGTGCATGAAGGTGCTGGTTAGAAACCAGGCAAGTACCAATGTGACTTTTCCGGAGTTATTTATACTTTCTATGATTATTTAGACACCACCAACATACGATGAAAGAAAATATCGTGTGGAAACCTGGACTTATAATTTCTGATTACAGGTTTGAAATCGCCAAACCGCCTTGAGCAAGCGTGGTGTTTAATGCTCAAACTTTCTCCGTGTTCTCCGTTTGCATAGTAGTGCAGTGGCTCTTATAGGTTGATGATAATAACGAAGAGGTATTGTTTACTGGACTGACTTACTTTTCGTGAATGTGTGTACAGAGTGCGCGGGCGCAGTCCATATATTGCGCGCGCGTCTTGTCCACAGCGGCGGCGCACACGACTTCACTCACTCACAGTCTGTCGCGGAGGCTGGGATGCGTCACTATTACGTCTGGGGACAAAGTATATGCAATGTTAATATAATTCATTGAATAACAAACCTTCTTAGATTCTTACCCCACACAAGAATTTTTTTCGTGTGTTATAGGTGCGTTTACAGACATACAATTTCACATACACATCACGCACAGACCCGAAACAACAATTTGTAGATCTCACAGTGTTTTTCCATGTGGGAATCGATCCGCGACACGTTGCGCAGTTGTCCAGCCACCTCAATAACCGTGCAGTCAAAGATTCGTGGGGCAACATGAAACTGACCACGAATATTAACAGAAGTCCGGATTTCATGGGAATTTTGAAACCCAATTGTATTTTATCAAGTACTCTCGGTCTACCGCAAGGTTGACCGACGAATTCGTGAGAGTTGCGGGTAGCCAATGGATACAAATAGCGAGTTCTCGTTCGACATGGGGAACTAAGGGGGAGACCTTTGTTCAGCAGAGAATGTCTTCCGGCTGATGATGATGATGATGATGAATAGTACTTTACTAAGCATATGGCTATAGATGTAGTAGCGACTAACCAGCTCCATGAATGCCAACACCACAAGTAAAGGTGAAATTAGCATAACGCTTCAATAAATTTAAGCGTTAAATTTGAAATTTTCTGCCTACATATAGAAGTATATGTTTGCGAAGGTGCCCCACCGGTGGGGGAGGGTGAGCAGTGAACTGTGAACCTATTCACACGAACCTCGTGTCACTTTCTCTGTAGGTCGCTGATAGATACGTGCTTAGCATAGATTAAAAAACCTTTCCAAGTGAGCCCATAATGGTTTCTGAATACTAAACACTGCTGAGAGCTTTCAGTAACTCTATATTTTAAGGTTAAGTGGTACATTTCAAATGCAAGTGCGTATTACTGAACGATTATATACTTTTTTCCGATGAATTAGTTGTTAAACTTATTCTTTTCATAAACGGATTATTTTTATAAGAAAACGTTAAGCGCAAGTCATCTGACTTATTTTATTATAAAGATTGAGAAAGACGAAGGAATCTGTTAAACTTTTTGTAGCTTAAAATTCCGATATACTAACTTTTTTATGAGAAACTTTACACTGCTGCGATTACAATCTACTTGATAAAACCTTTTTAGACAGAATCTTCGACTCAAGTCATAGACAAAGGGCATTAGTTAATGTGTAATTTGCTAGTTCTTAAGTGTAGATTCCTATAGAGAAGAACAAGAAAGGTCGGTTGAGAGTTGGTTCCGTTATATGAGAACCACTATTCTCACACTTAACATTAATATTTAGTCAAATTATAGACTTAGACCCGGTTTCTGAAAGGCTTGTCAACGCTGAAATTAACTTATCTCCTGTTAAATCTTTTGTCAAGCCATCTGATTGGTTGTAGATTGTATTTGTTGTAATTCAGTCAACCAATCAGATGACTTGACAAGAGATTAAATCGATTTTAACATTGATCGGCCTTTCGGAAACCGGGTGTTTGTAAACAAAACTTTAATATAACACGAGTAGATAGATAGTAGAAGTAACTCTTAAAAGTCCACTAACATTTTGAGTCGCTTCTGACTTTAGACTGCTTAACTCAACCCTTCACAAGAAATATAAACACTTAAAGGCACTGCTTGCACGAGTAATGCAAATATCCCAACAACGGGATAGTCGGGATATTGTCGCCGATCCTGGCTCGGACTGATACACAATAGCCCAAGTCTGTCTGTGTTTACGTTCGCGTTTATTAAGATCTGTATAACAATAGACAAGTTTAAATGAGAAATGTAGCTCTTAAAGTTTATAGGTTTGAGTGAGTGACTTGGGTTTAGATTAGTTATTCATTCAAATTTTAGATACACGTCTTTGTTTATTGGACACAGACTGATGTCGATCAACTTTACTTCAGTTATGTCTGTGTTTACTGTTTGAGTTTTTTTAAGGGGATAAAATCGTTAAATGGCTTCTATTGCGCTGGAGC